TACATAAATGCATTGAGTTGCTGCCATGAGATCAGCTGATATAAAACATCAGAATGTACACAATCACATGTAGATGGTTTAAATTAATTAAAATAAATTATATTGTTGATTAAGTAATTTCAATATTTGAATGTCTATTGGATGGCAGTGTAATTGTGTTTCAGTCCAAATAGGTTAGCAGAGTTCACTGCCCATGGCATTGTGGGCATGTTTTACAAATTAAATGTAGATTCTATTCATAGCTAAAATACTGTCCAGTTGTGTGGGTAATTTAACATTCATTTTCTCGTCGGTTTAGTCCCTTTATTAATCCTGGTTCGCCACAGCGGAATTACCCGCCAACTTATCCAGCACGTTTTACGCAGCGGATGCCCTTCCAGCTGCAACTCATATCTGGGAAACACCCACACACACACACTCTATGGACAATTTAGCCTACCCAATTCGCCTATACTGCATGTCTTTGGACTGTGGGGGAAACCGGGGGAAACCGGAGGAAACCCACTTTAACGCAAGGAGAACATGCAAACTCCACAGAGAAACGCCAACTGAGCCGAGGTTCGAACCAGTGACCCAGCGACCTTCTTGCTGTGAGGCAACAACAGTACCTACTGCGCCACTGTGTCGCCCGGTAATTTAACAATTGGAGAAAAATTTAGCATTTTAGAAACTTAAGATAATATGTATATATTAAGATGAGATTAGTAAATGTGTAGAAATAACAATAAATCATAGCAGAAAAAAACTGAGCACTGACATATACCAACACTTGAAACTAATGTGACATTTCAAAGTGCATAACAAAGCAACTGCATCTTCACAGAATAATCCACTTCAGGAATAAAAAAATCAATGAAGCTTTTATGATTTAAACAGTTTTTTTCATAATTGTTCATAAAGGGGGTGGCATGTGGCTGAGTGGTTAGCACTGTTGCCTCACAGAAAAAAGCTCTTTGGTTCAAATACAGACTGGACCAGTTGGCATTTCTGTGTGGTGTTTGCATGTTCTCCCCTTGTTCGTGTGGGTTTCCTCCTGGTGCTCTGGTTTCCCTTACAGTTCAAAGACATGCACTATAGCTGAATTGGGTAGCTAAATTGGCACACATAGTGTGTGTATTTTTGTGTGTGTGTGTGTGTGTGTGTGTGTGTGTGTGTGTGTGTGTGTGTGTGTGTGTGTGTGTGTGTGTGTGTGTGTGTGTGTGTGTGTGTGTGTGTGTGTGTGTGTGTGTGTGTGAATGTGAGTGTATGGATGTTTCTCAATACTCTGTTGAGACTGGAAGGAGTTCTGCTGTGTAAAACATGTGCTGGAATAGATGGCATTTCATTCCACTGTGGTGACCCCTGAAATAGCCAAAGGAAAATGAATAAATGAATGAATGTTCTTAAAGTTTACACTTTACACAACAGAATTGACTGAGATAACAGAATTGGTAGAAATTACTTTTGGACTAACAGACCAAACATCTGGGGCCTCATGTACGAAGACTTGCGTGGAAATCATACTAAAACATTGCTTACGCACAATCTGTAAATGTGCGTACGCAGAAAAAAATTCAGATGTATGAAACGCTGCGTACACCGAGTCTCACGCATATTCTTTGTACATCCGAATGAACGTGAAACTGAGCGCAACATGCACGAGCGCAAAACCCCTCCCTGCCTCCTTCCCCGTATGAATATGCTAATGACTCTACTTTGGCAAAACCAAACGAAAAAGCAATGGCAAAAGCAAGCAAAAAGAGAAACTTTGAACAGAATGTGAATTGGAGGTGCTGCTTTCGGAGGTAGACCGGAGAAAAACTGTGTTATTTGCAAGTTTGTCCTCCGGAATTAACAACAAAAGAAAAAAAAAATAGAGTGGGAGAGTTTAGCTGATGCGGTTAACACAGTTGGGTCTGAACATCGCACTGAGTGAATTACAAAAGAAATAGTGTGCTTTATAGGTGTAAAATGTTGTAGTACCCTTAACAGTCTGAGTGGCGCAGCTCATAAAACGCATGTCAGAATGTTTTGACACGTTCATGAACTCCGTTCGAATCCAGCGTCTGATGAACTCATTCATCTTTTTCCCCCCCCCGCTACATATCAGATTTTGCCAACTATTTATCATGAGGAAGACAAGTAGGAATCATTAATAATTTTGTGCATCATATTTTATTTGCACATTTATTGAATGGAAATGGTTCTGATTCACGCATGCAAATTAATCTTCAGATAGTGTCTTTATACCAATGTGTGTGCAGTAAATCGCTCCCATTACATTGGGGAAACCGGCGACAGCTGCAAATTGCGCTTTAATGTTTGGCTGGTCAACTGTATGGTATGGAAACCTTATATACCTGCTAGATGAACCCGTCTCATACAGCTGCCATTGCAAGGCAATGTAGAGTTTTGTAGAGTGCAATTTAACACAACTGCCTCTAGTAGTCGCCAACGGAAATAAAACAGACACGCACAAAAAAATGTGCGTAAGCCAGCCATAAAGCTGGCGTGAGCTGCGCACATTCCCACGTTCAGTTCATCGTTAGTAAATCCAAACGTGTGCGATTCTGAGCTTGAAACCTGACGTACGCAAAGTTTTTGTGCGTACGCCACGTTAATACATGAGACCCCTGACCCTTCCAATAATCTTATAACATATAAGCATTTATTCACATTTATTCATTCATTCATTTTCTTGTCAGCTTAGTCACTTTATTAATCTGGGGTCACCAAAGCGGAATGAACCACCAACTTATCCAGCAAGTTTTTACACAGCGGATGCCCTTCCAGCCGCAACCCATCTCTGGGAAACATCCACACACACACACTCATACACTACAGACAATTTAGCCTACCCAATTCACCTGTACCGCATGTCTTTGGACTGTGGCGGAAACCGGAGCACCCAGAGGAAACCCACGCGAAGGCAGGGAGAACATGCAAACTCCACACAGAAACGCCAACTGACCCGAGGTTCGAACCAGCGACCTAGCGACCTTCTTGCTGTGAGGCAACAACACTACCTACTGTGCCACTGCCTCGCCTATAAAAGCATATACTAATATAATATCTATAACTAACTAATGTAATATACTGAACTTTATCTCAAATTAAACTCATGATTTATGTAAAGTAAAACAGTATAGAATAGTAATTTAAAGTAAATATTGATTTTTTTTTACTAAATGCACTCTAAGAAATAACCTTTTGAAAAGGAACAAATTTGTACAAAAAAGGTGCATATTAATACATCAAGGGTACATATTAGTATATAAAAAAATACAAAGCGTTCCTTTTAAAATTTTTAGGTACTAAAAAATAATTTTGAGGTACAAATATGAACCATTAAAGTACAAATGTGTACCTTTTTAAAAGGTACCACCCCAGTGACAGCTCCTGCACCTTTATTTCTGAGAGTGTAGTAAACATAATATAGTAAATTCATGAGGGGTCACCACAGCCGAATAAATCGCCAACTTATGCAGCATATGTTTAACACTGAGGATACCCTTCCAGCTGCAACCCAATAATGGGAAACACCCATACACACTCACTGATACACTATGGCCAATTTAGACTTTGGACTTCGGGGACCTTTGGACTCCATGCGAACACGGCTGAACATGCAAACTCTACACAGAGTCAGCTGACCCAGCCGGGACTCGAACCAGTGACCTTTTTGCGGTTTGGAAAGGTCAAGATTTTGAAACTGCCAAGATTTTCTGTTGTACCGTTCCTAAGGTATATGTAAGAGTTTTTTTTTTTTAGGACAACAATATCTACATGATCTCCAAAGATGCCATTTTAAATGGTAAAGTAATCTGTGTTTTTGAAACTATGAAGATGGATAAAGTCAACGATTTAGCCTGACATGTTTACTGCTCCAAAATATATTAGACGTTTCTCAAAATGAAATATATTGTGTTCAATGGGTGAAAAGTTTTTTTTTTTTTTTACCCAGACATTTACAAATAATATATTTAAAGCAGCAATCATAATACTGTGAAAACATGATGTTTTTAAACAAGGTTATCATACCGCCGAAACCGTGTCACCCCTAAAACAACTAAAATAATACAAACAAATAAAGAAAATACTGTAGTGTACAACTACAGGGTATGTTATAATACAACACATCACAGTTTACTGCAGTGAAAAACGTAAACTACAGTGTTACAATTGATCAGTTATCTGTATACTAAAGTGTTCTATTTAATAAAATGTTGTAAATGCTAACAATACAGCACGATACACTTTATTATGGTTCAAAAGCATTTTATTTACTATTTGTTTGTGATGTGAGAAAATGCAGCCCGTTTTTTTAAAAAAGTATTTGCTTTGTGCAGATTGCAGCACGTGTGCTGTCAAAAAAATACAAATCTTTCCTTACTGCCGTATTTGTAATTGCATGCGTTTTCTCAAATTGAAGCATGTTAAGCTCTCTCTCAGCCACCGTAGACATAGCCTACAAACAACGACAAAATGTGTAAAATAATATTTACAGATATTCAAAAATCAGTAAAATATAAGCTAGGAAAATATTTGATCTTTGTATTGTCTTAAAATTTTTTCCCAGTACTGGGTTGCAGCTGGAGGGGCGTTCTCTGTGTCAAACATATGCTAAGTTGGCGGTTCATTCCGCTGTGGTGACCCCTCATGAATAAAGGGACTAAGCTAAAGGAAAATAAATAAATGAATAAAAGCAGCTTAAAAAAACATTTTAAGGTTAATATTATTATCCCCATCAAGCAATATTTTTTTCAGTTGTCTTTACAGAGCTTTACACTTTTCAGTTGTCATTGTTATACAATGACTTGTCTAATTACACTAACTTAACTAACGTTAGTTAACTTTTTGTTTTCTCTAGTGTAGACAAAGTGGCTGAGGAGGAATCATTTTTCCTCAGTTCTGGACTGAGACTACCGGTAGGTGGCGTGACGTGGCATAATTTTGGTCGCCTCCAAGATTTTTTGACACGAGGAAGAACGTTTTCCGCCCAAGGCGGGGTCACCATCCCTGTTGGCAAAGTTTGGCTGTTGGGACTGAGAGCGGTCGGTGAGATCAGCACAAGTAAATCGAGTATAAATACAGATCGGTCGTTTTCCAGCGCTCGCCGCCGTGTAAGCGTGCAGTGGGGCGTCCGGCTGTCGTGATCTGACCGCAGTCATGTCCGAGGACCCGAGCTCTCAACCTTGGTCCATCGACAAGGATGACTATGAGCTACAGGAGGTGATCGGTGAGCTAATCCACCACACATCAGCATCTCAATCACACGAGTGACAGAAAACGGAGAGTAATGCGGAGGTGTTTATATCGGTGTGGCCCTGATGATCTGTGTTCGTTCAGATCTCCATCAGTGATTGAGTCATCGCGCCTGGAAGATGTTCAGATATGTTAGCCATGCTAACTAGCCTGACGACATGCCAGCAGAGTGTAATTCTTGCGGTCAATGGCTGATTTACTGCTCAATTTGGCGATTTTAGCCTGCTGTATATGACACGTACGGTATTGTTACTGCTGATAAAAAGACGATGTTGCTTCATGAATCGTTAATGTAACGCTAAACAGGCTGTTATTTGGATAAAAGTTTGGTGTATAATTAGAACTCTGACTGCTTAACTTGAAATGAGAGCTGTTTGCTGTGTCCTGGAATATTTGTGTTGGTCTTTCAACTCCCGTTGTCAAAGGAAGTTGTCACTGGGTTGAAAGAAAGAGAAACATAAAGGAAGTGTATGATTTGACCAGAATAACCTGCACTAAATGTATATTGAGCTATAAGTCAGTTTGTAAACCAGCCATCTTGATTACAGCTATGTTGACAACTGCATTGCATTAAATAGCTTTCATATAGGCATCATGGTTCTTACAGCTTAGTTTATGCGAACTAGTTGCCTCAGAGATGTGTTGTTTTTCATTTAGCTTATCATAAATAATAACTGTTCTGCTTGATTCTAAAAAATAAAAAAAACTAAACAAATGTAAATCAAATTATAAATGCAATACTTTTTAACAAAAAAATGACAAGACAATGTCATTGGAACTGTAACTACAACAAAAAATAAACATTCTCTTCAATCTTAATGTTAAGAAATGTAATTAACGTTATCTCTCAGTGATACAGAACACTTACAGCATGATGGACAGCATGGTCCTCTGCAACACCATATGTTTTCTTCCTATTATTTTTTTATATCCATTGTTATAGTCATACATGCACACATGTACAGTTTTTCTTTTAAAACATATATATTTTTTTATCCTTCTGCACTTTTCTAGGGAGTGGAGCCACAGCTGTGGTCCAGGCAGCGTATTGCAAACCCAGGAAGGAGAAGGTGGCCATTAAACGCATCAATCTTGAGAAATGCCAGACCAGCATGGATGAGCTCCTGGTAATGTCTACTAACTGTTTATAACATAAGATACACCACCTGAAGGTATTAAATTAGATAGAGGTAAAGTTGGTTTTATATTTGCACATTCGTTCATTTAAAGGTCTCTATATTGTTTACCATGTTACTTTGAATATTCGATCGGAATTAGCATGCAAGTATGACTTCTGAACAACATCAACACTATCTAAATCACTGTGAACAATGTTGTGCTTTGATAGTCATTTGCTGCTAATATGTTTGCCTGTTTAAAATTTGCTTATATATAATACTTTATATACTTTATACTTTATAATATATACTCCGGATATAAAACCAACTTTACCTCTATTATAATTAGAATGGAGACCTGCTTGCTTAAACTGGATATTAATGAAGATTAATTTAGTTGTCTGGCTCTTTTTACATACTTTTTTAACAAAGGATGTTTTAAATGAGAGAAGGATACTGCTGTGTACATATTCTTGCCATGATTCTTAAAATAAATCATGGTAAAAATGATTGTAATTCAATAAAACACACTCAGATATTACCTTTAAGTAAGTCTGAAAAAAACAGATGTTTTAATTTTTTGTGATTGAAAATCAGGGTTATTCCACCCGTCCAAACTCTCCTTAAGTAAAAAAGAGAAAAAAAGATTTATTTTTAATTTATTTATGTAAATGTGTCTGAAAACATGGCATCTTTTTGCTATTTTTTAAAAGTTGTAAATGACAATATTGTTATCTTAAAATTGAAGAAAATGTTGTCATACATTATATTCATTTACTAATTAAAATTCCCCTGACTCCCTAGAACGTGTACTGTACATTATGTAAATGTTCTTTTGACAAAAACAGATTGGTTGAATCCCTTCGGATTTCAGTAATTGATCACATTCTGCAGGCATTCGTGAAAACTGCAGAGGTTGAGGTGAACTTAACAAAGCAACCACAGCTATTTTAAGTTGTCTGTAAGCACTACAGACTAGCTGACAACATTTCAGTTTCAGAAATGAAGTTAAGCACTGCATGTCTGATTCTGGGTCTGTCCAGTTCACCTCAGTTAATGATCTTTTCGTCAAACGGCAGGGTCATGATGTAATTCGGGTCATGTGCAAGGCAGCCACATGTCTGTCAATCAGCAGAGGATTAAACTGGCACAGACTCAAGGAAAGACTTTTCGGGTTTGTGATTAAACTGTCCTATGAGACAACATTAGCTAACTGCAGTTCCACTTATACAGCTAAATCTGTGTTTAAATAATGTAGAATTAGTTAACGTCAGTTTATTTTGTTATATGCTTGTAGTAAAAGGGCTAGTTTACGTAGAAGTAGAAAAACTACTCCGCATTTACTCAAATTCCAAATTTTCAAGGTTTTTAATCATTTTAAGCACAAAGTAAGATACTTCAAAGAATTCTGGTAACCGGTAACCATTGACTATAATAGCAGGCCTCCTGACTGCAGTCAAATAGTTGCATTTTGTCATAATGTTTTTGTTGGTGCAACAAATTTTTTTAGAGGTTGCACTGGTTCGACCGCAAGATTTACATGCAATTGTATGTAAATTGAATGCATAGCCGGTTACATTAAATGCCTTGTCTAAATACTCTCCATTTTTATCATCTTTCCAAATGCACAAAATTTTATCAAAGCATGGTAAAAATAACACATTAACGTGTGCACTTATTTTATCATAACTATTAAATTCTTATTGGAGTGTTTACATGAGACCATGTCCATTTGCTTTGTCAAAATGTGCACATTAGTCTCTCCTGTTTACTGCTTTTTATCCGATTTTATATATTCAGGCTAAAATGAGAATCAGGATTGATAAATTTTTTTTTGCTTAAAATAAAGATCACGATTTTCTCACGATTCTGTAGATGTAAAATAAAGGTTAAAATGAGTCAGCAATTATTGTTTTTTTTCTCAAACATGGTAAAACAACAGCAATATTATGTGTATGTCTACTGGTTTTTTATAAATAATTCTATTCTACTTATAATAATTCTGATGTTGAATTATGTTTGAGATATATGCTTGCAATCTGTCATTGACAACATTATTAGACCATTTTATTCACTAGTAAAATCAACATTATATAGGCTAGAGTAGTTATACAGACACTAAACATTTATTTTATGCACAACTGTGTGTCCCCTATGAAAGAAAAAAACATCAAATGCTTGTCGCAATCATAATTCTAAAATGCATTATGATTATTCAAATGATGTGCATGCTTTCGGTTTCATTTTCAGTGCTAAGTGCTGTTCATACATCGCACGCGGCTCTCAAATGATCACTCTGTGCCACAAAATGACTATTATTTTCAACTTTATTACCTGTTACTCACAGCCTATGCAGGTTCTGTTCACTAAAGTAGACGCGCACTTCTGTCATTAAGTAGGGAACGCGCACGGCCACCTCTCTGTGGTAACAGCTCACGGTCAACAGCTCACGTCACGTGTGATTTCCCGGCCGTGAAACAGCATTATATGAAGACAAAAATGACATTTTAAGGTCAATTGTACTTTATAAATACAGTATGTGACTCTTTTAACATCCTTTGGAGGTGTACATGTCACTGAGCAAAGGATGTGAAACAATGAAAAGACTTGTGCAGCCGCCTTTGCTTCTCTTTTGAACTTGAAAATATGATTGGCAGAAACGTAGAAATGCTGGATTAAACACGTTTAGGGGGTCGAATCAAGATTGTGATCTTTTTTCGATTAATTGTGCAGCTCTAATGTATATGTGTATGTATAATTTTGGGTGGTCCAGAGTGTACTTTTAAGGCTTGGTTGTGTTTATAAGATGCTAAGCAACGTGTGCGCCCTTACAAGCATGTGCTTTTGCGCTGTGTAACAACTGTCAGTAAGAGTAGCTGTTAGCCACAGCAGTTTAAGCCTGAATCAGACAGAAAATGAAAAGTACTTAGCTAAACTTCTCGTCTGCTCTTTAAAATAGAATCTAACAAGTGTCTTTCACATATATTCGGTATAAGCATATGTAAGTAACATTAAACGTTCACATATCTTTTGCAAGTTTATTATTAAGATGTAAAACGCACGGAAAGCGCTGGTGAAGACTGTGGGTCTTTACAGGGGTTTGATGGATAAATATGGTAGCTAAATTTATTTTAACAAATAAAAATATTTACAGGTTGAGGCTCACAATCCATAGCTTCTTCTGTTATGGCTGGAGCTGCTCCTTCTTTAAGGAGTTTTTAGCCCAATTCTGCTCTAAACTGAGGGATTCTGAAAGCTGTCCTTTGTCAAATACTAGCTATATATTATTTATAATTCTCTGGAACAAAATTAAAATTAAATTGTAAGCACTTATGTCTTTGTGTCGTGTCCTTTGGAAGCCCAAATATAGAAACAGGTAAGTAGGGGTGTATGCAAGTATGTAGGGGTGTATGTGTATGGTGAATGTGCACAAGCTAAATCGTTTGTGATCTTGCTAGCCTGGATGTATATTTTTGTTGTCCCCAAACTTTGTTCGCTGTAGGCTCTGCTAAGCTAACTCTGTAAAATCCAATGTCTTCCTTTGCATTGAACTTGCATTCAGAGATGTTTGTGTTCACACAGCTACATCACGCATGAATTAAAGTTTAAAATATGATGTCGTAGTAAACAACCCTTTTAAGCAACAATATGAAATTGTTGACATGCTACTGCTGAAAACATGATCTTTTTGAGCATCAGCTGTCGACATTTTTTGCATTCTTTGCATCATTTGGTGGGTAAAATTGGCAATTTTTATATGAACTATCTCTTTCAGTATATATGTTCAGCAAATACCTGTGGTCTTTTTTCCCCTCTTTGGATTCTGTAGGATAAAACTCATCAATGGTCACATCTTGAAGTAATTTTACCCCCAGAAGGTTGCGGTAGAGCAGTCAGGGATGATCTGAATGGGATCTTTTGTTTGTCGTTATGTAATTACTTCCCATTATTGGCTTTCATAATCCAGCCTTTAGGTTTAAACGTTTCATGCGTTGTGCTTCCTAACATCATCTTTCCTCCCTTTAATTATTTTTTCTGTCTTTTTTCTTTTTAGAAAGAGATCCAGGCAATGAGCCAGTGCCATCACCCAAATATTGTGTCTTATTACACGTCCTTTGTGGTCAAGGATGAGCTTTGGCTGGTCATGAAGTTGCTCAGTGGCGGTCAGTTAGTTTGTCTTAATGCATGTGCTGAATAAATAATAACAACCATAAAACTAATAATATGTCTTTTTAAAAAGTAAACTACTGCATAATGCATTATTTTTCCGCTCATGTCTGTTTTCAGGCTCAGTGCTTGATTTTATTAAGTACATCATTTCCAAAGGAGAGCATAAATCGGGCGTGATGGACGAGCCCAGCATTGCCACCATACTAAGAGAGGTGCTCGAAGGTCTCGAATATCTGCACAAAAATGGCCAGATTCACAGGTAGCTGAATGTTTAAGTTTGTGTGTTTTATTTTCTGTTGAGTCATTGAGCATTACATGGATTTGTCCTTGTCTCTGTGTAGGGATGTGAAGGCTGGAAATATTCTTTTAGGAGAGGACGGCTCTGTTCAGATTGCAGGTAGAGTTTCACTGTCAATGCATTTTTTTTTTTTGCAGGCTGTGTTCTTGACAGTTGCGTGGCTTAATGGCAGGGTTTAGATATAGGGAATTATTAAATTTTTTATAAAGAAGTAATAAATGTTCTTATTTGAGTGTATTTTATTTTCCGGAAAAAAAAATCATTAAAATTAATTAATTTCATTGTTAGGAGGAGAAAGAAATTTATAAGTTGTGCTTGTGTATGTCAGTTTTTACACTTACATTTTTAATAATACTATTAAAATAATTCTTAAATAATTTCAGGTAAGCCCTGCTCACACTGAGATTTCAGCCACGATTTTGTCATTTGGGACAAATTTGGGAAATCTTAAAAGATTCCTGAAAACCTAGGCTAAAATCTGTGGTCTCTGATCGTGGGTTTGACATGTTCACAGACGGCTGCTTATTGCCCGTTGCGATCAGAATTTTTCTCTGATTAAATTCTGGCACTTTCCTGCAGTATTACAACAGCTACGATGAGCGTCAATTCAAGAATCAATCTGCGGGGAAATGTCGAAACGTTTTTTTTTTTCCTGGTTGTATTATTAAGACACGCTTTGTGCAAAATTGCCGCTATAGATTGTTTATGTCTGCTGCAAGGAATCATTTCGAAATGTGGGATAATGATGAAGGGTGGAGTTTTTTTTCCTTGTTTGGTGCATCTTCATTGTCGTTCAGTCTGACATTGTGACAGCTGAGACCTTACAGTGTGACTTGGGAGCCATGTTCGGCTCTTGGGAGCCATGTTCGTCTAACATGCTACAGTTGTTCGGGATTATATAAAACAATCGCACAGTGTGATCCAGCCTTTAGTTTGCTCACACTTAATTTTGTATTACACTGTAATTTAACACTGTAATTTTAGATGTAGGTGGCAATTTGTCAATTTTTTCCTTTTTTTTTAAAACCCTTTATTTAATGTTTTATGAAATGCAAATCAACAACTACAATCACTTTCATAAAAAAAAACAAATCAATTAAATAAACACAGTATTATTCTTTATTTTTTACTTGTTATTGATTCTAAAAAGGAAAGATGCAAATTACACACAGTAAAAATGCAATGGAAGTAAAAAAAAAAGGAAGAAATTAAAACATCTATTTAGCATAATAAAATCAAACGAGTAAATTATTATTTCTTCTTTTGTTTGATGCGTAACTTTCTTTTATTGCTTTTTGTTCTTAATGCCATTTACCTCATTTTACAATTCAACATTTAACAAACCCCCTTCCACACCTTTTCCCTTTAAGAGTGCTTTCACACCTGTGAATTGATTCAGTTGTTCTGAGGCCCCGTTTACACTAATGCGTTTTAGTTTGAAAACGCATAAGTTTTGCTACGGTTACGCCATCCGTCCACACTACGCCGGAGTTCTCGAGCCCCAAAAACGCTGGAGAGGCCGTTTTCATTCTGAAAAGCTGCTGCTCCGTCTCAGTGTGGATGATGGAAAACGGAGACATCTGAAAACGGAGGCGGGGCTGCTGACATTCGCCTCTCTGATTGGGGCTTTTCCTCAATATTAAGTAGCCTACAAACAGTTCAGTCCCGCATCTTCTCCGTGTAAGTTCAGACTTCGCAAGTTTGATCAAGGCTCTTCTTCTCAGTTTAATATGGAAAACAGACTATACCGAACACACGGGTAAATCTTCAAAGGGAACAGTGTACTTTATAACTTCATTCACATCACCCTGGCTACGTTGTTTCACTTTCTCAACAAATAAAAGGTAAACATGATATAAGGAACTGCCTATTTTCATTTTAATATTAACAACTAAACAGACAGCAGAAATGTTGAGGCGTCGTGCTGCATATATGAGCGTCATCTTCACTGTGTGGACATTTATAACAAAACGGAGCCTATAACAACTGTTTCCTTTCAATTTTAGTGAAAATACGAAACATCCCCTATCTTTTGTTGAATATCAGTTTTAATAATCGATAATAGCCATTATAAAAGTATAACATACAATAAGTTTAAACATTATAGGAAATAAAGGCAAGCGATCAGTCAATATACACGTGCTTACATTAATCGTTTACTTATCTTTACGCTCAGCCAAAACACGTTACCTGAGAACGAGTAATAGATTCCAATGACCAAAGTCAGGGAATATGTCGTTAGATAAAGACAACAAGATGAATGAAATATCACGTTTAATAAATATAGTGAGATTAGATCCAGCGGCAGATGCTTGATGAAGTCCGACTAGCAGAGCTCTCATCTGGGTAGATGGGCTGCAGCGCTTGCCAAAGAGTGTGTGTGTGGTCACGTGATGTGCGTTTTCAGCGTTTTGGTGTGGATGGAGAGCAGTTCAGAAACGCTAGGTAAAACGCAAGTGTGGACGCGGATCGTTTTCATTCTAAAACGCCGTTTTAAAACAAACGCACTAGTGTAAACGGGGCCTGAGACAGGGATTTAAAATTGTTACATTGTGGCTCTTTGTTCTTGGTGCGGTCCGCTTTCACACGGCAAAGTTTCTAAACGGGCCAAAAGAGCTAAAACAAGTCACGTGCGAGTAAACTCTCCTCACATTGATCAGTTTCACGGTTTATTATGCAGAGTCCCGGTGGTAGTGGTTTGTTGGTGTTTACAGGGTGCGCGCAACGAGCAAGGACGGCTGCGGTGGGGAGGGGTTAGAAGGGTGCGTGATGTATTTGTGGACCGGGAGGGAGATGCGCAATTTCCGGGGAAATTATCACTCGTTTGCAGGCATCCGGGAGTCTTTGTGCATTTGCAGGAGACTCACAAACCTCCGGGAGACTTGGGATGTCTGGAATGACCTCCCGCCCTACTCATAACTCTCTTTCATATAGCCGTATGCCAATTACATATCCATAATACACTGTGATATAACCGGGCTCGGATCGTATCGCTTTTTCACTACAACTGATCCGCTCCAGAGTTCGTTTCAATCGAGCCGAGACCACCTCATTCAAGCGATCTCAAAGCGATTGTTTTGGCGCGGTTCAGAGCGCGATTGATAGATTCACATATGCCAAACAAACCGCGCTAACTGGGCAAACGAGACAGCTTCCGAAACAAAAGTCTAGGTGTGAAAGCACCCTAATATTCTTTTTGTAAAAATACAGAAACACTAAAACATCAGCAAAGTCTTTTTATATTAAAACATATGCAAGAATAAAAATATTCCTTCGATATTGGAAAAATTGACATTTCAATATTTTTCATCAATATACATTGCATTATGAAATCTATTTTAACCACATGGATTGAATAACTCTCTTTCTGAAGAATTCACTATTTCAGAATGTTTGCGATGAATTTGTAGTGTGGTGCATCTAAATAAATTATTATATTGAGCGTTAACTAGATTTTTAGTGGGGAAAAACATAAAAATTAGTGGAAAAAAGTATTTTATATTTGTCTAGTAATTTTTAATGGCAGTCGGACAAATATTAAAAAAATTTATTTGAAATGGCACTTTGCAGTCTTTACTGTCAAAATGTGATTTAATTAGTCTTTGTTAAAGCAACAAATGCTATTGTTCTTTGTACCTGTATGCTTTAAGCCAGGGATGTCCAAAGTCAGTCCTGGAGGGCCGGTGTCCTGCATAGTTTATCTCCAACTTCCTTCAACACACCTTCCTGAAAGTTTCAAGTATACCTAGAAAGAGCTTGATTAGCTGGTTTAGGTGTGTCTGATTAGGATGGTAACTAAACTGCAGGACACTGGCCCTCCAGGACCGAGTTTGGACACCCCTGCTTTAAGCTCATTTCATGCTTTAACAGAAAAAAACTAAATAAATTCAATTCATGTTTATTTCTATAGCATTTTCACAATCTAAATTGTGTCAAAGCAGCTCAACATAGAAGATCTAGTAAATTCAAACTGTGTCAGTCCAGTTTTCAGAGTTGAAGTTCAGTTCAGTGTAGTTAAATGCAGTAAATAATTTTAAAATTCACAATATTTAATCTTTGCCTTTAATCTACAAGCTTCTAGTTGTCAATAAGCCATAAAACGTTCTTTTAGAAGGAAAACTGTTGCATATAATGTGTATTATCTGTCTTATGTTTCACACAACTTGCAAGGACCATGGCTCAGGCGATTGCTAAATTTGTTTTCTTTTCCTCCTGAAGACTTTGGTGTTAGTGCCTTTTTAGCGACTGGTGGAGACATGACTCGAAACAAAGTGAGGAAGACATTTGTAGGAACTCCATGCTGGATGGCTCCTGAGGTCATGGAGCAGGTTTGTGTTGTCCTACTCTTTCCTTATTTTATCTGTTGCAGCATATAATTTGGAAACGGAACACCTTTGTTATGAGACGCTATAATGTTTGTTTACTTGCAGGTTAGGGGTTATGATTTCAAAGCTGATTTATGGAGCTTTGGGATTACGGCGATTGAGCTGGCAACCGGAGCTGCTCCATATCACAAATATCCTCCGATGAAGGTGAGCGTTTGTGTTCAATTAACAGAGAGTCAGTCAGTTGAGTCAATTGACTAAACATGAAACTGCTTTTTTTCACTTTTCAGTTCTTTTGTCGGTAGGTTTTTAATAAATACCTAAAACAAAGATGGAGATCAGTTAAAATCATGTTTTTTATAGCACTTGTGTTGGTAAAACAGGGTATCTGCAGAGTCTTAAAATGTCTTAAATTTGAAAAGCAAAATTTTAGGCCTTAAATCACTTAAATATTGTGGTCTTAAATTGTTTTAAAAGCTTTTTAATTTTCTTATGTCCATGTAAAGCTACCCAAACGGATCAACATTCATCCAATTACTAATGTTTCATCCCAATTAAAGTTTTACCAGTTTATTTATGCATTGTTTTAGTTTATTTATCACCAATTAGGCATGGCCGATATACGTTTCTGATGGTATGATAACCTTTGATAAAAAAATATTGTGGTGTTGTAATTACTGCTCTAAAATATGTTGTTTTTAAATGTCTAAAAAAAGAACAGCATTTTCCCCAATTGAACACAATATATTTTATTTTAGGAAACATTTAAAATATTTTGGAACAGTAGCTTTTTGATGTCTATGGCCCTTTTCAGCTGGAGATACTGTTGCCCTAAAAAAACTAAATAAAATAGTTGTAAAACAAAAACATGTAAAATATTTTAAAAAGCTTACATATATCATAGAAACGGTTGTGGCGGTTTTAAAACCCTGACTTTTCCAAACCATGGTAAACCTTTACCAAAATGGTTTAATTTTTTAAATGTTTTAAATAGGCCATTAGAAAAAATCCTTTGCATTAGGCTCGTTTATGGCTGTAATTTAATTCATAATGGTGTTAAAGAGGTCTAAAAAGACTTGATGAAACCTGTAGCAATCCTGTAAAAGGTATTAATTCATATTAATTAAAATGTGTAAGATATAAATTGGCTCAATTGAAGCTAAATATGCCAGTTATGTCTCTGACTATCATAATTTTTAGGCATTAAACAATGCAATTGCCTGTTTTATTCAGCATAAGCCTTATGCGTTTATTTTATTTAAAAACAATTAAATAGCCCAATTACTTTAAAATGGTGTAAAAACTATATTTTCCAATATTTTACATTTTTGGTATTAAATCTTTCTTATTTGTTTAGCGAAAATTGTCCTGTTATGTCCACATCGAATACTAGAAAACTTGAATAATTAAATAAAATCAAATGTATTTTATAAATACAAAAATGTGATGTGTTTCATAGATGAAAATAAATGGATAAGAAGAAAAATGTATAATATAGTTTATTTTTATATTAAGTTAAATAATTCTGTAAAATTATCATAGCTGAATAAACCCATAATTCTTTAATGTTTTGAATATATTTTAAGTTAAAAAAAATGTATATAAATATGAAAGACAATTGTGGTAACATTTGAAGTTATGTGCTTGTGGTGTGGTTTTTCTATTAGCTTTTAATCATTGCTTATTTTTAGGCTTTAAAAAATAGAAACTCTGTTCTAAATCTGAGAACCAGGGTATTTCTGACTTCTAAGTTAACTTTTAAACTTTGTCAACAATAACTGGTGATAGTTTTTCCACAGTTCTGGTTTTATTTAATTTACTTCATTGTCTTCATTTTCTGGTCTTTTTTGGATGTAGGTTCTCATGTTAACCCTGCAGAATGACCCTCCGTGTTTAGAGACTGGAGTTACAGACAAAGAGATGGTTAAAAAGTATGGTAAATCTTTCCGGAAGATGATCTCTTTGTGCCTCCAGAAGGATCCAGAAAAACGGTAGTGCATTTATTTCCTGAAGTTCTGTTAAGAGTCAAATCTTCACTTCAAAATATAAAAACAATATTGTCTTATTGATACTACTAATTTTTAACAGGCCTACAGCTGCTGAACTCTTGAAACACAAGTTCTTCACAAAAGCCAAGGTGAGAGGCTGTATCCTCAAGTTGTAAAATGACAGATATTCCCATATTTAAGATTATATTGCTGCAAACTGATTGCTGCTTCTAGCGAGACTATTTTTATTTAGTTTGGCAGCATTTGTTGTCGCCTAAATGCTGCCAGATCACTGGTCCAGTATGCTTGGTTTACTGTTACAAATACTGCAGATTAGTGTTTCCAAAGGCCATTTCCTGCTCATGGGATACAGGCCATTTTGTAACAAATGCTGTGCTGCCTCAGCAGACTGTCTTTCCTATGGGCTTAGTGGCTGTAAACAGAGTCTTGTAGGGGACTGCATTGATGCATTACGGCCCACAGAGGATGCTGTCTCTCCTAATTCTCATATTTCGTTTTTTAGAATGACATGACCTTAGGTTTGTGTTTTTTTTTCCCAAAGTATAGAATATGCAAAGTAGTCTGTATTGATTAGGCACATTCTCTGTTTATAAATATGCAATTATTTGGTTGTGCACTGGCTAGCCATGAATTGAAAATTGAAATTGTCATAAATACTTTACAGAACACTGATTACTTGAAAGAAAAACTGCTGGAGAGGGCACCTACAATAGGAGAGAGATCAAGGAAGGTGTGTGACAGATTTACTTGATATTATGTCTGACTGAGGAATTGCATTAGCTGTGCTTCATGCTGTTTTATTTTTCTGTTTAAAAGGTGCGGAGGGTCCCGGGCTCCAGCGGTCGGCTCCACAAGACTGAGGACGGAGAGTGGGAATGGAGTGATGATGAGCTGGATGTGGAGAGTGAGGAAGGAAAGGCAGCAGTGGCTGCTTTACGGGTAGAAACTTGACTTCCACACTACTTATGTTTTCATCCACCCCATTTATCTGCGCATTTTGGAATATCACATTTAAAAGATGCAAGATGTGCATGAGTTTTGAAAATGTGCATTATTAACATAAAAAGCACAACTGATAAAGGTAAACTTTTTATACAATAAGAAAGATTTTGCATAAATTATGATGGAGCAGCCATGGCCTAATGGTAAGAGAGTTTGACTTGGGATCCAAAGTTCCAGGTTCGAGTTCCAGCACCAGCAGGGATTGTGGGTGGGAAGATTGAATAAATGTCCACTTCAGTAGCATTGCTTAAGCTGGATTTATACTTTCGCCTAGTGCTGCATCGCGCACCTCTGCTGACCTAGCAAAATGGACGAGGCTTTTATACTTGCCGTGTTTGCCATTGTGATATTTTTTAAAAGTACACTGGGCGGTCAAAAGATACTGACTGTAAAATCAGACGAATAAACTAAGTAGGAAGTTTCCGGAACTACGTCAAATCATTAATATCATTCAGTATTTTTAAACTAATTATTTATATTGTTTTTATAATTTATTTTAATGATTATAAGCATTTTTATAAACATTCAAGATTTTTTATAATCAAATTTTGATGCATCACTTTCTTTTGTTCTTATCTCGGACAGTTCTACCTATTACAATTCATAAACATACTGTACCTGGGTTTCCACTTTTGTCATAGCCTCTTTTGCTTTTAACAAACGTATCCCTCAGGTTTTTCCAAACCTTTTTAACAAAAACTTTCCTCCTTTCCCATGGCTGTTGCAATTTCTAGCCAAGAATTATTGGTCATCTGGTTATCTCTATGATCATGGATCATAAAGATGTCTGTACAGGCGTACTGTTTCAGACAAAATATCTTCAAAGTGTCATATTAAACTCAAATCAGTTGCGGCGCTCCGTTGGCCGAAATCATGTCACGCGCACCCAAAGCGAACCTCCCCAAACTTTGCGATGATGTCACATTCGCCGCACACACTCAAGCAAACTAGCAAATGCATTGAGTATTAACCAGGCTTTAGGTGATTTCTTCCAACTGCTCCTTGGGCAACCCACTGCTTCAAGTGTGTGTTCATGGGTGTAAGTCGCTTTGGATAAAAGTGTATAAAGATGGAAAATTTACTGAATATATGCTAGCCTTAAATCAAAGTCATGTGATTTTTGGATTGAGATCATGTGATAACAAAAATGATGTTCATGGATAAACTAGTGGGCCAACAACATTTTGAAACACCTGAAATGTTTTGGTCATCCCAAAATGCCTCGGCCAGTCTCATCAAACTGCTTCTGTATTATTACCCCCAGATTTTTCTTAGACTGTTGTGCTCCTGAAAAGCTTCCCATGCCTCTAAAGGACACTCATTCGTCTTCTTCTGAGTTGCTAGTTATTTATTACATGAGAAAAGTTATAAACCTATCCATCAATTCTCCCTTTTCTTTTTAATGTTTGCTACCAGTTTATCAGGACGGGATGATTTTGTTGTTGACTTATAGCATGGAAATGGAGCTTTATTCGCTAATGTTTTATGCAATTTTCCACTTTTGCGTAAACTCTTAATTGGCGTCTTTGGATGAAAACATGGTTATTGTTACCTAAATTCTGTTTTATGGATTTGGATGAATAATTTTTTAATTGTTTGAATGATCTATTCCTAGTCACCAAGAGTAAAGGAGGAGGCGGTGCCGAATGCGGAGGTAAGAGTTCACTTCTTCTTCATACTTCCCACAAAAATATGTGGTAGAAAATCTAACTTCTGCTTCTTTGCAGGTTTTTCCAGCTGAATCGTCTGGTTTCCTGCAGCCAGCAGCTGTAGGTCAGCCTGAAGTGCCACACGCTGCAGATGACACGGCCACGATATCAGCCTCTCAGGTCAGAATCTACATTTCAGTCATTTGAGGGGCAACACTGTCAGCAGAGAATGACCGAACAAGTACAACTAGTTCATAAATGGACTTTTTAGATCTTTAAATTTGTTTCTACAGGCTGTTGCTGGACCAACTACGACGGGGCAGGACTCAGCTAAAATCCCTATTAGCCTGGTCCTTAGATTGAGGTATTGGCATTTTAGAACTTTTCGAATGGGCACAGAAGTGTAAAGCAATCGGAGTGATTAGGTTTCAACTGCATTAATTATGAGCCTCAAATCTAACCGTATTTAAAGTGATATTGAAATGTGCTTTACAGATACTTGTTCCTCTCTTATTTGTGCACGTTTTGCTTGCTTGATGGCTTGCTTTTTAAACTCTTCACGCCGTTGATGATATTTTTGGTCATTAATGCTTACTTGTATTGCTGTTATAAAGGATTAGCCTGTTTCACATTTTTAGTAATGCTATTCAATCTCTAGGCCAAAAAACAAGCGATGGAAGCACGTGTTGACCCAGAATCTAGATGTAATCATGCAAAAATTTGAGATTTTTCCGAGATTTCTTTTTATTTTAGCTGATTTATTTTGACAGTTTGTCAGATGACATTTATAAATATTTTTTTCAACAATTGATCCATTCAAGAGATTAGAAAAGCTAATTTAGCCAAGAAACAGCCTTTGTGTAGTATAAAATCATTCATTCAAATGGAGCTTTTAAAAATAAATGTAATTAACTAGCTGTCAATTCAGAATTGTGAATAATTAATCACAATTAATTCTCTATTTTAGATATTTATGAAAAAATGGAGAAATGTTATTTTCTTATAATAGTTGCATTGATTAAAATAAAATACAGCACATTTCAGATGCAAAAAAACCTTGATATTTCAGTATTTAGTGGTTAAGATACTCATTATGGCAACACATATTTCAGTTTATCGCTGTAAAAAAAGGCAGGTTATTTGTGATGTGTATGTTTTTTTTTTCCTTATTAATTTAAATACTGTATAAAATACAAATTATAAGATGTATTAAAGTCTCGTCTTCCACCTTTTTTGTCCTCGGCTGATCACATACCTGCTATGGCTCCTTACTGATATATTGAAGTAATAAAATGACTAAAATGGAAATAAATAAAAAAATAGGAAATAAAAAAATTCAAAGATCACTGCTGATATCTCGAATTTTTGTTTTTTAATAGGAATACAAAGAAAGAGCTGAACGATATCAGATTTGAGTTCATGCCAGGGAGAGGTTTGTGCATTTTACGTACTGTCTGACTGTCTGTGCTTCTTCCTAAAGACTTCATTTCAGACAGATTGAACAATTTTGAAACTTTGTTTTTGATATAAATTGTTCTTTTGGTTACTCTCTCTCCATCTAGACACAGCAGATGGAGTGTCTCAGGAGCTTGTGTCTGCTGGACTGGTGGATGGGAGAGATCTAGTCATTGGTAAGTTTGGGCTAATTAAATTTACCAGTTAAGATACCAATGCATATATACTTTTAAATATAAAGTAGTTTGAGTTTAAAATGAAATTGCTGCTTCATACTAAAATACAAAAGTGTTATTAACTCTAAACCATTTCTTTAGTTGCAGCCAACTTACAGAAAATTGTTGATGATCCACAAACTCACAAAAATGTCACTTTCAAGCTGGTAAGTTTGTTGGTTAAAGTTGGTGACCTGGGATTGTTTTTTACAAAACATCTTCTCCTACCTCTGAAAGTTCACCTTTAATAGCTTTAAATGTTTTTATCTGATAGTTTTCTCTTAAAGTCAATTCACAAAGCTGCTGAGACTAACTTTTCTAATCAATAGAAGATTTAAGGCAAAAGTAAGGGTAGGTTTGTCCTTTGTGGAACAGTTTTGCAGAACATAAGAACACACAGACCTCATTAACATTTAATCCATCAACAAATGAGAACAGTACAAACAATGACCAAACATACAAAATTAAGAGAAACTGTGTTCCTTGCTTTCAATGTTTTACACATCAAAAAAAAAAATTTCTTCCAGTGGTATGAATTGTTTTTTTCCAGTGTATGTTTTTTTTCTATTGATTGAGCAAATGTTTTTTTTTTTTTTTTAATGCTTTAAAAAATATTTTAAAATGGTTTTAAAAAGAAATCTTGGCATTTAAAAACATATTTTACAAAAAATTTTTTTGACAATTTGATTTCTTTTATATATATATATATATATATATATATATATATATATATATATATATATATATATATATATATATATATATATATATATATATATAAATAGAATTAATTAGCAAGTCTGACCATATAGGAATCATTGAAAGCTATTTAGGAGAACTTTCAGAGGTAGGAGATGTTTTGTGTGAAATTATTTTGTTCGGCCCGTCAAACTCTTCCAGAACGTCGATAGGTAATCTAGAAAAAATTTTCTATGAAGTCCTGGGTAAAAAATCTGGGTGTTCTAGATGGTAGCTTGAGCTTTGACAAACAGATAAATGCAGTGGTCAAATCCTGCTTCTTTCAGCTTCGACTTTTAAAAAGTCAAATCTATTTTATCCAGAAAAAAAATAAATAAACCATGCTTTTATTACCACTAGATTGAACTATTTTAACCCATTATACGGTCACACTTTACAATAAGGTTCATTAGTTAATGTTAATTAATGCGTTTACTAAGATGAACAAACAATGAACATTACATTTACTACTGTATTTGTTCATGTTAGTTAGCGTTAGTTAATGAAAATACAGTTGTTCATTGTTAGTTCATGTTAACTCATGGTGCATTAACTAATGTTAACAAGCATGAACTTGGATGTTAATTATGCATTAGTAAATGTTCAATTATGATTAATAAATGCTGTACATGTGTTGTTCATGATTACTTCATGTTAGTAAATGCATTAACTAATGAACCTTATTGTAAAGTGTTACCCATTATACTTTGGGATTAGTCAGAAAAACTTATCCCGGTTACTATTAGTTCAAAATGCTGCTGCAAGGCTTTTAACAGGTACCAAAAAACATGACCACATTACCTCAATTTTACGCTCACTGCACTGGCTGCCTCGTTACTTTTAAAATGCTTCTCTTGGTTTATAAATCTCTAAATGGCCTGGCACATTCTTATCTGTCAGAAATGTTAATTGAGCATCAGCCTGGTCGGTCTCGTCGGTCGTCTAACCAGAGACTGTTATGCATCCCTAAGTCAAGGCTGAAATGCAGAGGTGACCGTGCCTTTGCAGTAGCTGGTCCTGGGTTGTGGAATGCTCTGCCTCTCTGTATTAGATCTGTTTCATCCCTGTCTGTTTTTAAAACTTAACTCTTTGATTTGGCATCTTATCAGTGAAAATTGTTGGTTTTAGCTGTGCGTGTATAGACTATCCTGTCACAAAATGCAGTGAAAATTCTACACGATGGTGGTAGTTTTATTATAGTGTTTACATGTTTACACTTGGAGAGAAGTGGTGGATCTTTACAGTGGATCTTTCAGTCTATAATATTGAAGTGATATTAACGTACTGTAAACTTAGTAACTAAATCATTTTGACTAAGGTATTGTCTTTAGAAACTAAAAGAGTACTGCTGACGATACAAACTAACTTTGCCTCTGAATAAACAAACAAAGACCACTGATCGCTTACTCACCAAATCCGTAGAGACATGACAATCAACACGAAAGGGAAACACATCTTTTTTAAAAGAAGCCAAGCGGCAAATCTGGATTTCATCATTACCAGATGCGAAAAGTTCTTGGGTAAAAAATGTTTTGTGTAAACGTATTTGTCGTGTGTCGCGTGCACTGTAGTACACACAAGAGTCTAGCTGTGCTCTCATAGCGGCAAATGAAAACAAAACCTTCATTAAAGCACATTTATAAAAGCAACACTGACGACCTGTGTCTCCAAATTCTTGTTTTTCCACTTGTTTTGGCAACACAACGTGGCGTCTCTCTGCCGTCTGAACACTGTAACGGGTAAAAACAGTCTTCGAAGCTATCACGCATATTACTGAAGTTGCATCTCATACACAATAGAGCACGCTGATTGGTTTGAACCAAGTCTTTCTCATGAATTAATGCTGCACACTCGTCATGATGCACTCGCAGGTACAGACACTCTTCAAGCTGGAATACACGCAAGGATCTAATCAACACCATGCAGCTTCAAAAATTAGCTTGAAATGAGGCTAAAACAACCAATTTTCACTTTTTTGTGCAATTTATATGTGTCCTAATAGTGTTTTTAGCAGCGTGTGACACGTATATGATTGTCAACCACTCAAAAAATGTGTTTTGGTGTTTCATGACCCATTAAATGTTTTCTTTCCAAACAACAGAAACAGCCATTTTAGGATAGTTTGTGGTTTGGTCTTGGTATATAATGTTTCACTGATTTAGAAGCTAGTTTTAGCACTTTGTAAGTAATTTTACAGCATAATTTAGCACTCTCACAACCATTTTTAAAAAGATTTTCTCCTAAATCTGCAAGTTTGGAGCTACTTGCTTTAAGATGTTTTGTGAATACAATCCCATTTTTTTCATAACCGAGGTGTTTCATATTGGCGTCATATTTATCTTTCTTCCCTTCAGGCATCAGGAGTGGACAGCTCTGAAATTCCAGACGATGTTAAACTCATGGGATTTGCTCAGCTGAGTATAAGTTAAAACCTAGTATTACCAGCAAACGTAAAGAAAAGAAAAAAACCCAGACTTGTTTGCACACCAGTGCATTGTAAATGCTTTCATTGGCCTAAAGAAACCACTACTGCCAAAGAGACAGAAGGAACCTGACACCACATAGGATTAACAAATGTTGAATAGGACTGCATTCGAGTTCTTCATAGGAGCGCACCTCAGATGTTTACAGTATTCATGTATGTTTCGTTTTCTGTTGCTTTAAACATTTGCACAATCTGAACCAACTCTTAATACTGGTAGATGTCAAAAGAATGCCTTACTTTCGATAGAACTACTACTGAATTTACAACTGTAGGTAGATGGTAGCTGTGAAAATGAATGAGTGACCGACTGTGTGTGTTTTCAGCTGTGTTACCTCAGTGGAGGCTGGAGGGCAGGATTGCCATTCAATAGCGTTTAAGGGTGCATGTCGTCGGCAGCCTATAAAGTCAGCTGTTCACTGCACTGTTCTGCAATGTGCGCTGTCATCAACACCGTATGGTTTTCCACATTAAACACAGGAGCCATGTCACACGCACCTCACAGTTACACATTTGGGCTGCTCTCTCACTATCGGGATTACATTCCCATCATTTTGCATGGGCTAATGCCAGACTGCATGAATGATGTTTTGACGTAAGAAATGCTGATCATTTTGCTCTCGGTTCATTTTGTCGATTGGACTGTTCGTGAAAACAGAAGGTGGGAGAAGAAACGATTTTATTTAATTTATCCAATACATCTTTCTTCTTAAAGATATATATGCTGTTCTTTAGGAAAACGACTGAAATTCTCTGGAAATCGTGCGTTTTAATTCAATATGTTGGAAAACAGATGGTTATATGCAACTTTGGACTGAGCATTCGTTTTATTTACATGCATTCTATTATGTGTAGCGGCAGCTGTTTGGATAGTTCAAGAAATAGATTTACCATTTATTTGAAGGATTTACCAGTGCTTGCGAGGTAGCAAAAGGTTAGCTTTACCACTGGTCAAATAAATTGATCTTGGTTAAGTAGTTTCAATATGAAATATTTCAGTCTTCAGACCAGCATGAGAATGGTTTGTTAACCAGAAGCATTACATTTTACAATTATTAAGTGGTCATAGAGGATTTATTTATTTTTTGCATTATTTTGAATGTTATCTAGCAAACCCGTTACAGATCTTGGTATGCGAGGGATTGCATATTCTCAGATTTGGCAGTTAAATTTCTCAGTATTCATTTTCTCTATATTCTGCTATAGAGTGCATTAGTTCCTGTTGAATTTTAGCTGTTTTACCACTTTAATTTCAAATCTATTAAAACCCATAGTTTTTTTAAATGGTCTTAACGTGTCATAAGTTATGAACCAAACAAACCAGTTATTAGGACGAATCACAGCAATATTACAAACTTTGAATTATTTGAAGAGCATTTGAAAGTCTGACAAAGTTACAAGACTACTTAACAGCATTAATAAGAAAAAAACAAAACAAAAATATTGTTATATGAAGCACAAATAGCACAAATTAAATTTGGCAGGTAAATATAAATCCATCCATATAAAGTTGTTGGTTGTATCTGTAGAAACAACCTTTATATTTTATTGCAAAATGTGCATATACATATTTTTGGAGTGTAAGGAGATTGCTTTTTGGAAGTGGGCGGAGCTAAAGCCATCTTTTGACTTGCTCTGATTGGTGGAATGTTGTGCACATAAGTATGGGTAATATAGTTTGTTTAGAAATAAGTTGGTTTGAGGTATACCAATGGTCTCAAACTCAATTCCTAGAGGGCCTCAGCTCTGCTTAGTTTATATAGCTTAATATTCTACATAGTAGTCTTGAACACTTTGATTAGGATCAAAAGTGTTTGCTGTTTATCCTTTTTAGAAAATGGAAGAAACTGGGCTTGTAGCTGGTTAAAATGGGTCTATAAAATCACTGGCTGCCCTAAACCAGACATTGGCCAGTCAAAAATGACCATTAACAGATCAGACTGCACTTTAAAAAAATGCTGGGTTCTACACAATTTCTTCATGTTGTCTTAGCACAAATCGATTAAGTTAGTTTCATTGTTTTTATAAATTTTAGTAGATTAGACTTAAAACAATTAAGTATTCCCAGTAGAACGCTATAATTGTGGTGATTCAGCTCAGTTTAAACAAGTGATTTGAGCAAGTAGCAAAAAAATCATTTTTTGAGTGTAGGGTTGTAGCAAATTTTTCAGAGTTGCAGCCCTTAAAGAATCGAGTTTGAGACCTGTGATGTATACAATCGATTAACAACATCGGTCTGTCTTCAAACATTTAGCACTTTTTTTTTATATAAACAAATCTTTTTAGGGTTAGTTAATTATTCTGTAATCCAACTATTGCACTCTATTAAGTGTAATATTTTAAATTATGGCTCTAAATTGGTCCTAAATGAATGTCTTCATATGACCCATTTTTGAAAATGAGACGCATCTAAACTTAATTTTCTGAGATATTCCATCTTGATTTGATTTAGCGACATTTGAGCCTAAAAAATAGAGCATCTGATTATTTCGGTTGTGTTTAAGTGTGTGTCTAAATTTTTCTAACTTCTTCCCCATGTTTTAGCTCATTTACAGTCACAAACTGGTATAGTAGTAATATTGACCTCTTTTTTTTATTTTTATTTTTTAGGCACAGCCTAATTTATACATTTCTCAATCTGGAAATTTCAATGAAACCAAAACACTCTACACCTGTAATTACATGCATTCGAAGAGCTAAACTGCTGAAATGTGTAGATTTATATGATACAATACAGTTTGCTGACCTTGCAAGTGCTGATAATGAGGTGAAGACCAGTGAAATGACTCACTGACCAGCAAGAAATACAGGAAAAGTGATTTAAGGACCTATTCGGTGTCCAATGATCTTGGTAATAGGATCCTTTGAAATTGAAGTTCTGTTTTTGTAATATATGAAGTCCATCACACATTCGTCTTGCTTAATATCATTTGTCTCAGCTGTAGACTTATGTCAGATTCCATGTATATATCAGAAGAAAATGTGTTCACATGCAACTGGTATTTTATTCCATCAAAATTAAATAGCGTGATTATATTGCCAGTTGTCTTGGCAGGAACTGATTTTTTTTTTTTAACCGTTTTGCTGGACTTTTACTATATTGTCGTCTTTATCATACAAAGCATACACTCCATCTCACTTAATTTTAAACATTTTTTACAGTTATTTTTATCTCCTCGGCTTCCAACCAACTGTTAATTTGAAATTGTTTTTAAAACCGATAAATTGTAGACACAGTGATTCACGCGCTGTCACTTGTGTGTATGTGCAAATGACTGTTGGATTACTTTATTTTAGATATACTTTGTGTAAATTCAACAATGAATGTGGGTCGGGCATCAACAAATACTTCAACGAGTAAACATGAGTAAAAAAAGTTCTGTAAATAATCGAGTTGGTGTCGTTTATATAGAATATAAACAGTATACATACGGTTCACAGTTGGCCTTTCTATGGAGTGGACGTGGTGGTTTTGTCTTACGTCTTTTTGTTTGTTGGTTTCTCTGTTCAGTCAAAAAAAAAAAAAAAAAGTCAAACGCAACACTTGCCGCAAAGGGTGTCATTACTAAAAATGTATCCCATAAAATATTACATTAGCATGACTTGAAAGTAGTTTTTTATGTACTTATTTCTTGGTCAACAGTGGAGGGCTATTATTTTCAAACATTTCAGTTTCTGCCTTGCTGTCTTCGTTTTCTTGACATTGTTGAAGTGGTTGGTTGTTTTATGTGTTTTTTTATGCTTAAATGGGCTCATATCAGTGGCATGCCACCTTGCTATTGTTACTATGATTTTTCCCCCTTAAGATACCTTAAGTGGACTATAAAGGCAAAGCCTAAACACAAGAATTAGATTTCTTTAACCATCAAAAAGACCCCAGATTCTCAAAAAACGTCTTCAAATATGTCTTGTAAAACACTTGTCATTCTCCTTCTCACCTTGGTGATATGAAAGTATTTTTTTCACTTCTGTGTAAGTGGTTGACCCTCTACTGGAAATCATTGGAAGTACTTCAACAGAAAATCTTCATAAAGAATATTCTTCATTCCTTATTTGTGTGAGACCTTCAGATTGATGCATCACAACTTGTTACATGTTTATCTCTGGTGATGTTTCTGTGTTGCATGGAAGCTTGATTCAGTATTGGAATAAAAAAAAACATTGAGTCAGTTCTGAAAATAAAATTCTGGGTTTCTGGGAAACACTATTGATGTGCAAATTTGAGACTTTTCCGAAAGCAGTTTAGTTTATTATTATATTTTCATCGTCATTATTTAGTTAACTTATTTTTATGATCCTGCACTTTTTCCCCCTGAGATTAGAGGGGAATTCTAAGGATAAAACCAGAACTACAATAAAGTCCCAACCTATGGGAAATAAAATAGAAACTAAATTGCAGATGCAAGTTAAAAATTCAAAAATTTTTCCCATAGAAATCTCGCTATTAGGATTATTTTTTTGTAATTTGAAGTTTTTCCTCAGAATTCTTTGTCCATTTCTCGCAATTTTGTCTTTTTTTACCCCCTCAGACTTATGAGTTTGCTTTGCAATTTTGACTTTTATGTCAGAATTGCAAGTTTTTTTGTTAAACTGTTCTTAAATTCAGAGTATTAATAAGTTGAGACAATTGCTAGCCTGTAAACTTGCAATTTCAAGATGTAACATTCCAGTTCTGAGGAAGTTCAAATTCCAAAACGTAAACTGCGAGATGTAAATGCAGTATTTTAAGGAAAATAAAGAACAGAAAGGTTTAAGTTCCTTTTCCTCAGAATTCTGCATTTATATCTTGCACTTCTGACTTCTTGAGCTCAGAATTAAGGAGAATTGAGAACTCAATCTAATTGAGAGATACTTTTTTTTATTCCCAGGTGGAACAAGCGTCCATAGTGTTGAAGTGAGTTGTATAAGATCATTCCACCCTTCTGTTCTGTCTGCAGACTGAAGGACTGCTGTATTTTCACACAAGCACATGTATGCAGATCTTTCATAGAGCGATTGTCTCCATTCTTGTGGAATATCTTTGGGTTTTCAATTCAAAGTTTTTTTGTTTTTTTTATGCGTGTCTTTTTATTTTAATGAACTGCAAGGATTGAACAGCAACGAAGGTATTACTGTCGCACTCAGTATGGGATTTGTGAAGGACAATGGTAGAACACTGTATAGTATTTCACTTCTTGGGATTTTCAGTGCATGTGTACCCAATTATTTTTAATAATAATCAATAAAGAATGAAACGATGAAATTTCCCCTGCAAGCGTGTCATTGAATTATATAATGATGTTAAAGTGCTTGATCATCCCTAACAGCCCTTTGTGGCACCTCTCCAGTTTATTGCTCTGTTATTATATTGTTGAGTTACACATTACACTTTTTGTCAGCACTTTTTTTATTAGTTTTTATACTCTAGATCAAGAGCGGTTCAAGTTTCATGATCTTTAAAGAATGATCTTGACGTTTGTGCATAAATAAAATAGTGTTGTTTGTGGAATTTTTCGTATGTAATTATAACTACAAAGTATAATATGAGATGAAAACTGTAACCATTAAGTAACAGTAAAGATATTTTTGAAAATCATTCTAAATTTAAAAGGGATGCAACACACACACACACACACACACACACAGACACAGACAGAAAAATATGACAGAAATTTCCACTTTAAAAACATTGACATCTAGTTAGAATCCAGTTACTCTTTATAAAATGCAACCATTTAAAGTGAGACAATGATTATTAGTAGAACATTAGCAGGCTGTAGGTTTGGTAGAATAAGCTGACATAGATGCACAGTTGGTGGCACGGTGGCTCAGTGGTTTGAATTGTCACCTCACAGCAAGAAAGTAACTGGTTCCAGTCCCGGCTGGGCCAGTTGGCATTTCTGTGTGGAGTTTGCATGTTCTTCTTGTGTGTTGGGGTTGATTTTTCTTCTGGGTGCTCCGATGTTCCCCAGTGTCCAAAGACCTGCACTAGGTGAATTGGATGAACTAAATTGGCCATAGTATGTGAATGTTTCCCAGTATTGGGATGTGGCTGACAGGGCATCCACAGCACAAAACATAAGTTGGAAAAGGTGGTGGTTCATTCCGCTGTGGTGACCCCAGATTAATAAAGGCACTAAACCAAAAGAAAATGAATGAGTTGCACAGTTGCTTGCAGATGCTGGAATGTCTAGGCTACTCTGTTTTCCTCAAAATGTGAATGTAGTTATTTTTACTGTATAGGATAAAATGTTGACTATAACTTGTAGCCTTCACATTGATGTCTTGTTGTCTTTACCATTCATTCGTTTTTTTTCGGTTTAGTCACTTTATTCATTTGGGGTTGCCACCGCAGAATGAACCGCCAACTTATCAAGCCTAATTTTTTAACTCAGCGGATGCACTTCCAGCTGTAACACATCACTTGGAACCATCCATACACACTCATTTAAACACTTATATACGGATAATTTGGCTTACCCAATTCACCTCTACCACACAAACACGGGAAGAATATGCATACTCCACACAGAAATGCCAATTGACCCAGCTGGGGTTTGAACCAGCGACCATCTTGTTGTGAGGCGATTGTGCTACCCACCATGCTGCTCATATGTTATACACTCTTGAAATAATTGTTCTTTATTGTCATCAGTGGTATCAACATTATCATTAATGGAATGGAATATAAAAACACCAAAAATGTTTTTATAGTGAAAACATTTCTTTGGTGAAGTTATTTACCACATGCGATTTACTATAGTACCGGTTTGGTCCCTTTTTTTTACCTTCAGAGTTGTGTTAAAGGGATAGTTCACTCAAAAATGGAATTTCTGTCATAAGTTCTGTAAATTTTAAGCTGCTGTATGTATGTTTTTGACTCTTCCAAAGCATGAAAAGAACATATTATGCTTGCAGATTCTTCAAAAACATGCCAAGTGAACATTCCTGTTTATCTGAAAAACAAAACTGAAGTCAGATATCATATTTTGAAAATGTCTGTTGTGTGCTGCAACGTTTGTCTATGTTTTGGTTCTTTTAACCCGCTCAATGCCACTTTTGTCAATCATATTTCAGCACCTTGAGTTGCCTTGGTTCATTTATTCAGAAAGGCTCTCAAAGCATGCATCCGGGACTGAAATGCAACCTCTGGTGGACAGTAGCAGATTCCGAAATGAGACGCAGATTCAGCATTCCACATGAGGTTTTTAATTAGCAAGTAATCTAAATATTATGACTCTAAACATTAGGTGAGCAGATTACATTGTTATGTGTCCAAACAATACGCTTCGTGACTAAATTTGCCGTGATAAGTAGTTTGGGTGTTTGCACCAGACTAAACACGACATAAATTTAAATACAGCTACTCAGAAGCACAGAATATGCACTCACTCACGAAATGTAAAGCTTTATAATCTAATTAATACATATTAAACCTCTTTAACATTATTAAATGTAGATGCTGAATCACTGATATGTGTTCATTTGCAGCTGTCAATCAGTTCGGTGGGCGGGGGACCGCACTCCTACGTCAAGTTGCGGTCGGTCGAAAAACCACTCCAATTGGTCCACTGTTTTTATGTTGTTAAATTGAAAAAATGACTGGGTGTGCCTGTACACTATATCTACACATATGTCTGTCCAAACAGCTTGAAAAGTAGATTTTTCACCAAAGGTGCCCTTAAAATCAGCCTTTATGCTCGGCCGTTGGACTCGCTCCGGTTGGTCATTAATCTGGAGTCCGTTCTTCGTACGTGAATTACTCAGTTAGCTTGATTTGGTTATTGACGATTTGACACGATCCAGGATTGTTTCATTCTTCAAAACTGATCCGAGAGTTGTTGTCATAGCAACAGTTCTGGTAGCTCGAAGTTATATAGAAGTTATAGTTGTTAATAAAATAAAGTTATATATATATTAATAAAAGTTATGCAATCTGCACCCCCGAAATGAATGTACAAAGACTGCCACCTGGTAGTGCAAAGAGAAAACGTATTGATATGAACTTTTTAGATCGCTTTAGTACAATTTGTTTATGATAATAGACATGCACAATATGTGACTTTTTTTTATAAAAGCAATAATACATTTATGCAGTCATAAACATGTTTTGACAGTTAATATGACGGTGATTTGATGCTTCATTAAAGTTGCAGACGCCTTTACCAATACCAAAATGCTTTTGTAAACATCCAGTTATTCTTTACACAGATTAAAAAATTATCAATTAACTAAGTAACTGTAAAACTAAATAAATTCCTCTTGACAAACCAATGGGCCAAGCAGCCCACAATAAGGTATAAAGTTATTTCGTTTCATATTAAACAAACCGTTTACTACTAATTTTATGTAATTTAGCTCACATGGATAATTAAATATTAATCAGATGATGTTATTACATCAAGCTTGTCAAACTTGCATACTGCACCTTTAGCATACCCCAAAAATGCTGGGCATTTGAAAAAAAAAAGCATTTGCTTCATCAGTTCCTTTCTTCTTTTATCAATTACTCATCCTAAACTTATTTCAAACCTGTTTGAGTTTCTTCTGTTGAACAGAAAGCAAGTCATACTGGAGAATGATGGAAAGTATCAGTCATTGACTGTTTCTATCCACCTATTTTTATGCGAATTTTGGAAATTTCACCACAGCAAATTCCATTTTTTCTTTTTGATATTCGCTGACAGTTTATCAGGAAGTGAAGATTGTGTTCTCTTTGCCTAATTTGATGCAAACTGCATTATTTGCAAATCTTTTATGCGATATTTCGGTTTTGCACAAAAATTATTTTTTTTTACAGAAGCTTGTTTTTAGCCACAGGTTTGGAACAAGGATTAGCAAACGATGACAGAATTGTAATTTTTGGCTAAACTATTTCTTTAAATCGTTGTGGCATAGTTTCAACAAATGCAGGAATTATTCCTCAGACATTTTGATCCACACTGACATAATGGTGTCAGTAATAATATCACACAGTTGCTGCAGATTTTTCTAATGCACATCCATGATTCATGTACATCTCCTGTTCCAAAAATTGCTCAGATTGAGATTGTTATTGTGTGTAGGCTGTTATGTTCAAGAAGCTTTTCTCAGTTTGAGATGATCTGAACTCAATGACTGTCCTGCTGAAATCTGGGACTCTGAATGCTCATAAAACAATCAACGTTTAGCAACAATACCCCCCCCCCCCCCCCCCCCCGAACACACACACACACACACACAAATCATTACCAGCAGCCTGAATAACTGATGTAGGAAAAAAAGTATCCATGCTTTCATGCTCCTTTACCCAAATTCTGAGGCTACCATCCAAATGCAGAGATCAAGACTGGAAAGCCTCTTTTCAATCTTCTAGCGGTGTGCTCTTCTGCTGCTGCTGTAGCTCATCTGCTTCAATGTTGGATGTGTTGTGAGAAGCAGTTTCTGCAATACTCATACCAGCCTGTTCAACACCATCGATGTCAGGTTCATTGAGACTTAAATCATCTTTCTTCCACATTCTGACACTCGATTTGATCTTCAGCAGTTCATCTTGTCTACATCTATGTGCGCAAATGTAATTGACTGATCAGATACTTGGGTTAGTGAGGAGTTGAACCTACAACCTATTAAAATGACCTGGTGTGTGTATTTATGTGTGGGTCTGTTTATACGTCTGTCTGACCTTTATCTGTGTTATCTTTATCTAATCGTCTTTGAATGCAGACCCATTGACAATATGACCATTGTTCTCCGTATATATGACATTCTGGTACATATTCACATGATTGTGCAGTTAATCATTAAACATTTACCTTGTTTTCTAGTATAACTACTCAAGTTTGCTTCGGTTGTTGCTTAGCTGGACCATCATGGCCAATTTTGGGGAGATTTTAGAAGCTATTGGAGATTTTGGACTCTTTCAGAAGCTTCTGTTGTTTGCCTTGTGCTTTCCAAACCTTATATTGCCTTTTCAGTTATCCAGCCTTGTGTTCAACCATGCAGACACCAACCATCACTGCAACACTGACTGGATCCTTAAGGCTGATCCCAATCTGACGAAAGAAGAGCAGCTCAACCTGACTCTGCCCAGGCTCTCGGATGGCTCTTTTAATCCCTGTCAGATGTACAAGCCGGTGGATTGGAATCTGTCTGCTATACAGGAATATGGGCTGAATCAAACCACCACTTGTACTGATGGATGGGTGCATAATGATACTATTTATGAGGCAACCATTGTCACTGATGTAAGTACAGTCCTAACAATGCTGCGAAATAGCCATCATGAAAAACATACAGTCAAGCCCGTAATTATTAATTTCATACCTATGGGGTACGAATCATTTCAGGCCGGAATGTAGTCACCTACATATGTACCACAATGAATTTGAAGGAACAGTCCAATTCTTCTTCTTCTTCTTCTTCTTCTTCTTCTTCTTCTTCTTCTTATTATTATTATTATTATTATTATTTGGAAATAGGCTAATTTTAGAACTAAACAGTTGAGTTTGCCATTTTTGAATCCATTCAGCCAATCACCGGGTTTGGTGGGGGTACTTTTAGCTTAGCATGAAAAAGTTTTTATTTTAGTACACGATGAAGCTACAGAAGAGCGTTAAGTATAAAAAATATTTTTTGAGCGAGATGCTAATGGTCTAATCCAGTTCAATGATTTGTGCTAAGCTAAGCTAAAATGGCTTCTGCCAGACCCAGAGACTGGCTGAATAGATTCAAAAATGGGAAAACTAAACTGTTTAAGATTAGAGGACTTGTAAAAGGAGCATATTCTCCCCCCCCCCCCCCCCCCCCCCAAAAAAAAATGTGTACCTTTAAACTACCACAATGTACAAATTACCTCACCATGAACTGATTTAGACAATAATATTGATGTTTACATTTGGGAAAACAACAATAATCCTGATGTTTTGCGGTGTTTTGCAGTTTGACCTTGTTTGTGAAAATGTTAATATATTTCGGGGCGCTCAAACCGTTTTCTTCGCTGGAGTGCTGGTTGGAGCTATACTTTTTGGGCCCTTTTCGGAATCGTAAGTGTTTTAGATATGTACAGATGATAACTTTTTAAAAAAACTGACTCTGTCATCATTTACCCACCCTCAAGTTGTCGTAATGTATAATCAATGCAATCTCACTGAAGTTTGTACAGATTTAATAGCCAATTTGTATGAATTTATACAATCTCTTTAGTACATCTTAACAAGATTTGCACATCACCCAATGGCTGTTTAGCGATGGGGTTTGTGGGCAAGTCTCCTTTTAAAAATCTTATGTTTTTGTTTGAATTAGCCAATAAGCACTAGGCAAAATGGTTCGATTTTCTTGTGCGAGCTGACTTTTATAACCAAGAGATATTGAATAATAAAATCAATAGAAGTCAGTGGGGGCCTGAAACTGCTTGGATTACTCATATTACTCAAAATATCTTCAGCAGAAAAAAGAAATGCACATAATTTGAGTGTGAGTAAATTGTTAGTTATCAGAATTAATATTTTTCTGTTCTGTCCCTTTAGGTTTTTGGGTATGTTCAGGCTTTATATTACGCTATTACCCAGTTAATTACTGTGACAAGTATTTACATTTGGAACATGGGACTATAAAAAATATCAGGTTTGGTTTAAGGTTAGTTGCTTGTAACTATGTTAAATGTACAGTTATTTAACTATAGTAAGTTCATGTAACCGAGTACACTGTATAAGTGTTACCCAGATTTTTTCAGTTTAAAGTCATATATTCTCCTCTCTGCCATTGACTTCTGTGTTGTAAAATGAGATCAAGACACATTTACAGTTTCACAAATTTTTATTTTAATATAGGTTTTATGCAGTGAATTATTTATATACTGTAATTGATATTTTTGATCATATTTTTCATATGTAACTATAATATATTCCATCAAGTTGCGTTCATTTTGGTGTAAATCAAGTATTAATAATTAGAGAAAGTCCACTATCTGACCCTGATGATCCTGGTCACTTGAAATTGAAGCTTTCTCTCACAGTTTGACCCTGATACATTTTTGCATTGTCATCCTGGAATATGAACATAGGATACATCGTCTCTGAAATATTTAGTTGGGAATAAAAAGCTACACATCATTATTAATCATGATGATAAATATCCAATCACAGACTTTAATAACTTTATTTTATAGCATATTATAACTAAGTATTTAATAAATTAAGGGTTAGTTTACTCAAAGCTGAAAATTAAATTATAATTTACTTATCCTCCTAAGCCGTTTTAGTTTCTTTCTAGACACACTAAAAACCTGTAGCTACTGACATCCACGGTATTTGTTTTTTTCTACTGGATGAAAGGGATTTTAGGTTTTCAGCTTTCTTTAAATTATCTTCTCTGTGTTAAACAGAACAAAGAATCTCATAACTGCTTGAGGGTGAGTAAATAGGAAGAATATTTTTGGTTTTCTGTTTGCAGTGTATTAAGCCTATTTTAATCTTAAAAAGAGCAAAATATCATAACACATACTTTTATATTACTTTCCTTTAAAAGTAACAAACACATGTACTATTTATTTAATTTTATTTATTTTAAATAATAGTCAAGATTGTAATATATATACCAAACAATGTATTTGATGCATATATATATATATATATATATATATATATATATAAAGAAAATCAAGAGTCTCTTTCAGTGAAATGATTTCCCCCCTTCTCTTCTATGAACTAAAGGTTTGGCCGTAAACGAGCCACACAGATTCCTATGGTGCTGATGCTCATATTCACAGTGGTGACTGGTCTCTCTCCGAACTTTTACGTGTACCTCGTGTCCCAGTTCATTAATGGTGTTGGTCTTGGAGGATTTCGGATCAACAGTATTATCCTTGGTATGACGCAAAAAAAGCTTTTTTAAAATTTATTATTCACATTGGCTTAATTACTGTAAAATATGAAATATAATTCCACAGAAACAGTTATCAGTGTCAATTTTTAATATAATCTAATAAAGCTAAATAAATAAGCTTTCCATTGATGCATGATTTGTTAAGGGTTTTTGAAATCTGTAATCTGAGGGTTCAAATAAACCTGAGAATAACATACTTAATGTCCTGACAAACCAATCAAAATCAAGCACAAGACAGCAGTGTAATAAGAAATTAAAACACACAGAATGGCTTTGTTTTTTTTATTATTGTTATGGTTTTGTCATTCATTTTCTCTGCAGCCTCCGAGTGGATTGGAGTCGCCCAGAGATCATATGCAGCATGTCTCAGTCAGGTCCTGGCCGCTTTAGGACAGGTCATGTTTCTTGCTGTTGTGTATTTTGTCAGGGACTGGAGGTTGGACCAGTTCATAATGGCTGGTCCGATTGGAATTGTGGTCATCTACATATGGTATGTTTGACAATGTTTTGTTGTTATACATGTGTTCATTTAACGTTGTCATTTTACGATTGAACTCATTAGTGAATTTAGTTTTTATTTCCAAAAATGAAAATGTACAATTTTCACAATCAGATAGAAAACTAATAACTGATTTATTTTTGTCTTTGCCATGATGACAGTAAATAATATTTTACTAGATTTTTTTCAAGACACTTCTATACAGCTTCAAGTGACATTTAAAGGCTTAACAAGGTTAATTAGGTTAACTAGGCGGGTTGGAGTTATTAGGCAAGTTATTGTATCAAGATGGTTTGTTCTGTAGACTATCGAAAAAAAATTGCTTAAAGGGGCTAATAATTTTGTCCCTAAAATGTTTGTAAAAAAAATCAAAACTGCTTTTATTCTAGCCGAAATAAAACAAATTAGACTTTCACCAGAAGAAAAAATATTATCAGACATACTGTGAAAATTTCATTGATCTGTTTATCATCATTTAGGAAATATTTAAAAAAGAAAAAAAAAATCAAAGGGGGGCTAAAAATTCTGACTTCAACTGTATATCCACAATTCCCCACACCCTGTTATATGCACAGAATATCACAGAATGTCAGAATAACTGTCGTTTAGACCAACCTATTAGATAAATTACTTGACATTTATAGCATCAGATGAGGGCTAAGTGTCCAAGATTTTTTTGACGTCACATATATAAATTTTCTACACTGTCAGAATGTCCAGTTTAGCATGGTTGATCCGTGCTGATGACTGTTCCAGATACATATTGAATGCAACCAGTGCTTAACTGAGAGATCATAAGGGGGTTTCCACCTCTGTAACAACAATTTCTTTGTAGCAGTTGAAGCAGCTAACCAAAATTTACAGATTCTCTGCATTTAAGGGAAATTGAGAGTTATCATTCAATAGTAACAATATAAGATCTTTTGGGAAACAAATTTTTGTAACTTTAAATAAAAAGTCCAGCACAAAATCCCAAAGTTTTTGCATCTTCGTATATTCCCACATCATATGTAAAAAGGTATGGACGCTGTGGTTCATAAAACTTACAATAAGGATGTGGAGATAAACCTTTGATATGCTGTAAACGTGTAGTTAAATATGTCCTGTGAATAGTTTTAAAGTGAAAAAACAAGGGTTTGTGGAAGTGTGTAATGTATTATCCCACACAGCTTCCCAATCGATAGTTGCTTAGGATAGAGACAGATCAGATAACCATAGTCTTTCTTTTGAGAAAGTATATTAATATTAGAAAGACAACAGTAGAGATAGGAGACAGCATTATATATTCATTTCACAATCAGATGGGTATGAAGATCCATACCCCATGGTGTCTTATGTGCTTGCCCTTATTTTAAAATATATAAATAGAGTATTGGGGGTATATTAAATTTGTTAATCAGCTCTTAAAATTCTAGGATTGATGTTCCTACTTTTCTGTCTTTTATGAGTTACATGATTTGATATGCACACCAATACAGGTTTCTACCAGAGTCTGCCAGATGGCTTCTTGACCGTGGACGAACTAAAGATGCGAAAAAACTTATTCAGAAGGCAGCGGCGGTCAACAAACGTGCAGTTCCTGAATCATTAGTGGAGGAGGTTAAGACATGTTTTTTTTTAAACCAACCTTTATGTTGTGGGTCTATAGATTGTTAGGTTTATGAAAGTTAATACCCTGCTGGGTTTTGAAATTACTGAGTGAAAGAAGCTCTGTGGTAAACAGAAATGGATTAAATGACAATACTGAAAAAAAAAAAAAAAAAAAACACACACACACTTATTTGGTTTAACAGACATTTATTTGTTTGTTCATCAGCCACTGTAGCTAATGGTTTGCAAAGTTACTAGCCACTTTTTACTGGCCAGAATAATTTAGTGGGAATTCCATGCATGTGATACTAGTGTCAAATAAAAATATCAAATTTAAACGTATTATATTTCAAAGCTAAACATAATTCTCACTCAGTTTTCCCCTTTAAGATAAATTATTTGTAGTTCAATCTTATTTGAAATTATTTTTATTGGAAGTTTTCCAAATTTGAAGAGTATTTTTTTTTTCTGTAAGATTTTAATGTGCACAAGTTTAACACTAATAGGTTAAACCATAACACAGGTTTATTATGCAGTGAAGACTATGCAGTTACAATACATTTGGGTTTCTGTTCCTGAAATTTCTCCTAAATGCCATTAGCTTTCCCAGAAAACACATTAGACACTGTTTGATGTGAAGTATTCATGTAAAGTTTTAATATTTTTGCCTGATAAATATTTTTTACATCGTATTAACTTTGGTGAAATAGGGTCAAATTTGGGTCAGCTTAGTCACTACATAAATATACACATTTATTTATTACATGTGTCCTAAATAACATTTTTTTTGTGATGTCCTAGGTCCTAAAAGAAAAGCCTGTTGAAAAAGGAGGTATTAAAATTCTCTTTGGTTCCCGTGTGCTGAGGAAATATTTTCTAGCCATTACCTTTGCATGGTAAGCGAACTATAAAACAATTCATTTCAAATAATTTGTTATTTTTGAACATGAATGTGTTGTCAATCCTCAGGTGTGCTTTAAATTTAGCTTACTACAGCCTGTCTCTGAACGTGGGGAAGTTTGGACTTGATATATTTCTTACTCAGCTGATATTTGGCTTGTCTGAGATCCCCGTCCACTTCCTATGCATGTGGTCTCTGGAGGTGGTTGGGAGGAAGCCGTCTCTGATCGTCTCTCTCGTGTTGGGAGGATGTCTCTGTCTCCTGACTGTAGCAGTTCCTCAAAGTAAAAGCATTTCCTTATTCTGACACCCTATCCATATTTTTTCCAATGTCCCATGATGCTTTGCGTCAGTTATAGGAGAAACCTCTGTTAAACTGTAAACAATTGGGGAAGTGTTTATAAAAACTATTCGGTAACACTTTATTTTGATGGTCCCCCTTTAGATAGTCTGTTGATCATAAGTTACTTTTCAAGTTCTTATCTGTTTACTCTCATCTGGGTAGTATATGTGGATTGTCTTTTAAATGTTTCTAGGCAATCATTACAATGTCTACAACATGTAAACATTTATTAAACTTTTGGTAAGTTGTGTTATCAATATAGGTTCTAGATGGACAACAATGTATCAGTAAATATGTAACAAATCTTCAACAGATGTTCAACAAAGTATCAGTAGATAGGCAACAAATCTTCAGCATTAAGGTTCTAAATGTTCAACAATGTATCAGTAAATATGTAATAAATGTGTAATAAATCTTCAACAAATGTTCAACAATGTATCAGTAGATATGCAACAAATCCTCAACATTTATTAAACTTTTGATAAGTTACGTGCTACCAAATTAGGTTGTAGTGTATTACAGTGTATTAGAAGATATGTAACAAATCTTCAACAAGTTTTCAGTACATTTACCAAGATTTTTTGTTCATTGTCTGCATGTATCTTCTAATACACTGTAATACACCACAACCTAATTTGGTAGCACGTAACTTATCAAAAGTTAAATAAATGTTGAGGATTTGTTGCATATCTACTGATACACTGTTAAACATTTGTTGAAGATTTGTTACATATTTACTATTTCTTATTTGTTACATTATTTCTCATGACTGATAAAAATAAAACTCAAAGCTACACATAATTCTCATAATTTCTTTATATAATAAATGATAAGTAGTTTAATCCCATTAAAACAGATTTGAAATGGAAATTTCCCAAACCAGAAGAACAACCCCCACATGAAAAATACCATAGTAGATTATAGTAAATAATGAAGTGATTTTGAACCATTCTATAGAAAAGGACATTAACTGATCTGTTGTGGTATACAGTAGCTATACACTACCTGACAAAAGTCTGTTGTTGAAACCAGTTGTGAGATCAAAAAATAATAACTTGACTTCTAATTGATTAGTTGGAAATGTGGCAGAAGGATAAATGAATTTTTCTGATGAGTCATCTGTTGAACTGCACCCCAGTCATCACAAGTACTGCAGAAGACCTATTGGAACTCACATGGACCCAAGATTCTCACAGATATCAATCAAGTTTGGTGAGAAAAAATCATGGTTTGGGGTTACATTCAATATAGGGGCATGCAAGATATCTGCAGAGTGGATGGCAACATCAACAGACTGAGGTATCAAGACATTTGTGCTGCTCTTTACATTACAAACCACAGGAGAAAGCAAATTCTTCAGCAGGATAGTGCTTCTTCTCATACTTCAGCCTCCACATCACAGTTCCTGAAAGCAAAGAAGGTCAAGGTGTGCTCCAGGATTGGCCATCCTAGTCACCAGATATGAACAATATTGAGCATGTCGGGGAAAGATGGAGGAGGCATTGAAGATAAATCCAAAGAATTTTGATGAAATCTGGGAGTCCTGCAAGAATGCTTTCTTTACCATTCCAGATGACTTTATTAATAAGTTATTTGAGTCATTGCAGAGATGTATGGATGTAGTCCTCCTTGCTCATGTGAGTCATACACAATATTAGTTATTTTTCCACTGCACCATGACTTTATATTCTATACTGTACATTATTACTGTACACTACTATCACATTGTTAAGTAACAAGACTTTTGTTTAAGCAAAGTCAGAACTTACTGTCCTAATTAAATAATTAAAAATCAAGGCATAATAAAATTTTATTTTGGTCAAGTAAGCGTAATCTAGAGGTCTTTGCCTTTCATATAAGCCACTTCTGATACCAAATGATCAGCTAAAAGTCAAGTTATTATTTGTTGTTCCTAAAACTTAGATAGGAGACAAGATTTTTGTCAGGTAGTGTATGATAATACAACAACTATATAAACAAATCCCCCCATACTGTACTAAGTTTTCTACAACAGTTTGGTATATTATACTACACCACAGTTTATGGCAGTAAAAATTCAAGTATACTGCAGTATTTATTACAGTTTTATCAGTTTACAACAGTTAATATATTTAACTTAACAATAAAAATATTATACACTTTATTAAAGTATAGTTCAAAACATTATAGTTTTTATTAAATTATTAAAATAGTATTTATTAAATTACTATTGCATTTTTCATGTGGGCCCATAATTTGAAATGCAGTCGTCATGTGCAGGAAAATGTGAATGAAACACAACCTATCATCATTTAACCATGTGATGCTCTTTTTAAGACAGCTCCATCGCCATCGCTGTTCTTGCCACATGTGGAAGGTTCCTCATGAATGCAGCAGGGAGTGTTTGCAACGTTTATTTTCAAGAACTGTTCCCCACATCTATTCGGTAGGCATTGATGTGTGTTTCTTCTACTTTTTAAAATTAATTATACAGTACAACAGTACTGTATTAATCCTCTTGCTGGTTTCCAGTCAGACAGCCACAGGTTTGGGCTCCACCGCTGCACGAGCCGGGAGTATGCTGTCTCCTGTGGTGAACATGTTGGAAATTTTCCACTTCTCTATCCCAATGGTGGTGATCTCCAGCCTGGCATTAGCAAGTGGGGTAACGGCCTTCCTGCTGCCTGAGACCAGACGCACTGAACTGCCTGCTTCCACTGAGGAGGCAGAGGGAAAGAGGTACATCTGCTGATTTTACTGAATACATTTCAGTACAATACATTACATTCAGTATTCAATACATTACATTTCAGATTACAGGAACACTCCACTTTTTGGGAAACCTCATTTTACAGGTCCTCTAGAGTTAAACAGTTGAGTTTTAACAGTTTTAACCCTTTTCACGTTTACAAGTTTCTCAGTAACGGATGTCATCATAAGCGCCTTTCACACAGTCATACTGATAAATATCTGGTTAATTACCGAAACAACTTTACTTGTAAATTTAAAGAAGCACTGTTCACACAGGCAAGGACGTTCTGGATTTTTCCGAAAAAGACCGTTCACACATCCATCTCAAACATTCCGGCAAATCGTTAACCAGAAATGAGCTCTAAACGGCTGTGCTTGTATTTGTGAACATAGAAGGAGTCAGGCTTTTGTTGATGGTTTTACATTTATTTAAAGCTTTAGGATTTATGCAGCTGCTTTGCCCCAGAAACATCCAAAGGCAGAAGCGCAAGCCGCAGCTAAATGTTTCCACATTTTATTACAAATTCTGTGGAAGGATATGTATTGTGAAAAACTTTGGTGAAAACACTTTCACATGTTGAGGTGTGCATAATATGTGTGTGTGTGCTGGTGCTCACCTGAGCACTCCTTCACTTCACGTTCATAAGACTAAAGCAGAGCTTGAATTTTATAACTTTTTTAAAGTTGGCATTAAGAAGGAACATTGAAACGTTATCTGACTACCATCTAGCAGCTAAATGTGTCTGGAAAATATTCCAATTCTTTTATTTTCATAAACAGCGCGGCTGTGAATTCGTCTGAATGTTCTGATTGACTGTAGTAGACATGTCATGTCAGCGTGTTCTAAGCATGAACGCAATCTTCCTTCTGCATTCACACAGCACAGCATTCCGGCAAATTACCGTACAACTTCTCTTTCTGGAAAATTGCCAGAACGAATTTACCAGTTTTTTTTTTAAAAGGGCCTGTTTACACACACAGACCTTTCCAGAAAATTGACAGGAAGGTGTGTATGTGTGAAAGGGGCTAAAGTTGAGTAAACTTAGAGCGCAGTGAGTCAGAGAGTATAACAAATATATATATATATTTTTACAATATTTGCTAAAATAATAAAAGTGAAACTCCATTATGGTGTTATCAAGACTTTCAGAAAAAAAAATAAAAACACTGTGAGACTGATGACCGCAGCCAGAGGAGAAAATACCATCAGATTTACTTTCATTCCCATAGACGCTGCATTACAAACACCTCACATATTCCGTAATTAGTTTTTTATAATTTGATGAAAAGATGATATAATACATTCATAAATGTATAAATATGCCCATACGTTTTTTTATTTTTTATTTTTTATTTTAATATTGTAAACTTTCAAGGATTTATGGTTATGATGACTTTTAAACGCATCATAACAGTCATGTAAAAAGGGTCCATTCACTTTTAGCTTGGCTTAGCATAAATCAATGAATCAGATTAGACCATTACCTGCCTTGATTAGTCCCCAGATAGGTAACTAGGTAACAGTGCTGTGTAATATCATTGCACCTGTTCCAGCCATGGTATGGCAGCAAAGTTTCTTGATTATTACGCCAAAATGAGAGAATAGTTCTTAGCCATATCAACCTAGAAAATAGCAACTCTTGATTTTCTGTCTGCCTAAGTAAACAATGTAAGTACAGAAGTCAGTCAAGATTTTTACAGGACAATCATGTAAACTTTTTTTTTTTTTTGCATGAGATTCTAATGGGCTAATCCAGTGTTCCTTTAAAGTGATTTTTGTCATTCTTTTAGGGTTTAAGTCGTTTTCGAATAAGTTTTATGTTAAAGGTGCAGCAGATGATCTGCCAGAATGCTAGCATTAGCATAATAACTTAGAAAATTTACGATCCTCCCCTGCCGTCCAAAGCCATGCCTCCTTAAGTCATGAACACACGAACGCGCACTGATTAGATATAACACTAGATCATGTCATTCACCAGTTAGAAAACTCTATGGAGACACGCACTTTATCAAGTGTAGTTGTTGACAGGCCAGCAGGTGCAGGAATTATATTTCCTCAAAACTGTGTCACAGGTTGTCACTCTTCAAAAAGGAACAAATGTGTGAATATAAATTAAACTTCACCTCAGTAAAGCGGGTTAGGTGGAAGAGCACATTTACTAACGTTTTGTTATTAAGCTAAATACAGATTAAATCAGAAAAAAGAAGCGCTAAAAACAGAAATATCCTGTCATCTTTTTACATCACACTTATGTTTACGTTACCAAGACAACAAGTGACTTTTCATTTTCATTTGTGCTCGCTGATCCCCGTACATTCGCTCATTTTTCACTGAACAACTAAACGAATGCTCAGGTCTATTTAACTGACTATATTATTGATGCTGGCGACGCAGTGGCAGAGTGGGTAGCACGTTCGCCTCACAGCAAGAAGGTCGCTTGGTTGCTGGTTTGAGCCTCGGCTCAGTTGGCGTTTCTGTGTGGAGTTTGCATGTTCTCCATGCATTTGCGTGGGTTTCCTCCGGTTGCTCCAGTTTCCCCCACAGTCCAAAGACATGCGGTACAGGTGAATTGGGTAGGCTAAATTGTCCATAGTGTATGAGTGTGTGTGTGAATGTGTGTGTGGATGTTTCCCAGAGATGGGTTGCGGCTGGAAGGGCATCCGCTGCGTAAAAACTTGCTGGATAAGTTGGCGGTTCGTTCTGCTGTGGCGACCCTGGATTAATAAAGGGACTAAGCCTACAAGAAAATTAATGAATGAATGAATTATTGATGCTGTAAAAGGTACTCAATGAACTGAAAAAATAACCAATCTTTTGCCGGAGGTTTTCAGTGGCTGAACAACACTTCCATGCATATAAACCCATTTATAAACAAAAACACATTCTACATCGGCTTTGCATGGCTAAAATAGTTTTAAAACATACCTGTTGGGATGACGCAGTGGCGCAGTAGGTAGTGCTGTTGCCTCACAGCAAGAAGGTCACTGGTTCGAGTTTTGGTTGGATCAGTTTGGCGTTTCTGTGTGGAGATTGCATGTTCTCCCTGCGTTTGCGGGTGCTCTGTTTTCCCCCACCGTCCAAAGACATGCGGTACAGTTAAATTGGGTAGGCTAAATTGTCCGTAGTGTATGAGTGTGTGTGTATGTTTCCCAGAGATGAGTTGCAGCTGGAAAGGCACCCGCTGCATAAAAACATGCTGGATAAGTTGGCAGTTCATTCTGCTGTGGCGACCCCAGATTAATAAAGGGACTGAGCCGAAAAGAAAATGAATGAATGAATGAATGAATGAATGAAAGATCATACCTGTCTAAAAAAATACTTTAACCGTGGTGTCAGATCGTTGTTTTGAACTGAATAATATCTTTGCCCTCCAGCGTGCAAAAGTAATTCCGATATTGATTTAGGGTTTAGAGAAGTTTTGATTCTGTTTTTTTTTTTTTTTGCAGAAGCCCTTTTAGAAACAATCTTTCTTTTCATGCATACAAGACCACAATAGTCTTGCAGACAGAAGTTCAGGTTGATTCCGAGTTTGCCTGATGACATCTCTCTGTCAACAGTAGATCCATATGCTTCACGAGACTGCGCAGGAATTCAAATTTAAATTTGTTGACAGACAAGATATCTGTCGTAATTGTTGAGATATCTGTCGTAATTGAGCTATTTGTTGGCCCGACAATATTCAATTGCATGAACATTTTTTAGTTTTATGCCTTATCCAGAATTTAGAAATACATATAAATACATTTAGATCATTTACTTTAATCATTACTATTGGAATGTGAAGAGACTTTCAACCAGCACAGCAAAAAATATGTTTCTAAAGACAATCACCTACTGCACCTTTAAAGGCCTACTCACATTAAAGACCATAACAATAAAATGAAGTTCTAAAAATAAAAGATTAAACCCAAATATAACAGTAAAACAGGAACATCATGTAAAGAAACACATTTAATATAGGGACTTAAAATAATAAAACTTTTTATGCACTTTGGCTGTTCATTTACACGACAACAGCATTATAGGGACAGGAAACAAAATAAAAAAAATTTCATCATTATGTCTGTCTAAACTGCAAAACTTGTTTTGTGTGAATAGTGACAACATGCGCATGTGTATTATTGAGAGCAGAGGTAGGGAACCTATACCACTTTGATCAAAAATATGTGGCTCTCCATTTGTCTCTCTTCAACAATATTTAAAAAATGATAACCGTGACTAGAAATTAGTTTCCTATTGAAAATACCATTAAAATTCCCTTTTATATTGTATTTTCTACAGTAAAATGAATAAGAACTCAGTTTACAATAAAAGGACTTTTCAACCAATGCACATATGTGACGATGTAGTTAAACTTGAATTGCGACACCAGTAAAGGGCAAGCAACTTACAGTTCCTTTCTATGGTAACCTCACGCATGTAAATTCAAGCAACATTCATGAGTGGTGATGGCAAAAAGAAAAAAATATAAATTGTCCTTGCTTCATACATTGTGATGCATCATTTTTGTTTATTTTTGAGTTGTGCATGATCATAAATAAAGGTTTTGTTAATAAATAAATAAAGGTTTTGTTATATACACAAACCCTCGATGGCTCTTTAAAAAAAATACATTTGATAAAAAAATGGCTCTTTGTTGAAAAAAATGTTCCAGACCACTGTTTTCATTCAGCTTTATCTTGTGCACTAATATCATTCTTGATGCCTTTTGTTAACCATTTCAAAAAGCAAACATTTTGATATTTTTTACCAAGTTAAAATAACACATTATCTCCTCTATTTTGCCACAGGAAACCGAAACTAACTAGTCCTGCAACAAGAGACTGCGAAGACACCAAAGTAACCAAGTTATAATGTCTTCTCGAAAAAATTGTCAGTATTTCATTCCATAAAAGACTTTAAAGTGAAGTGTGCTGCTGTTTGTTTGCATTCATCAACACATGTAACATTAGTAGATTCTGTGTTTTGTTAATATGTAAAATAATATGCAATAAACATGATGTAAATTATTGTTTTCTTTATTATGACCCACAATTAGTCTTTTATAAACATGGTTGTCTTTGTATTTCTTCTTGCATCTTCATTAACATGATTATTTAAATGACATACGCTGTAAAAAAATGCAGGGTTCCACACAATTCATTTATGTTGTCCCAACACAAATCTATTAAGTTAATACTGTTAACAAATTTATGTGGATTGAACATAAAAAAATTAAGTTGTCCCAATGAAATCTCAAGAATTGTGTTGATTCAGTTTTTTTAAATAAGCATTATCAATAAGCAAATATATATTTTTGAGTGTAGATTATAAGGTGAATCTAGATAAATCTGTATTTTTTTTTTTCAAAACTAGTCACATTAGTCATAAAAAGCTTGATTAGTTTGATGTGACACTGAAACGCCAAACCAGTCATTAGTGTCAATTTTTGGAAAGTAAGATTTATACATCATATGAAAGCAATAAACATAAACCTAAAACAGGTTAAAAAAAATAAACCTACACTTTGTTCGTACTTTGTGACAGGACAAAGTTTGCTCGAGATACAACAATTTGAAATCTGAAATTTGAGGTTTCAGAATAATGAAAATATTGACAAAATCACCTTTAGAGTTGTCTAAATGAAGTGCTTAGCAATGCACCGTACAAATTAAAAATTTAGCTGTGATATATTTACAGTAGCAATTTTTCAAAATGTCTTTATGAAACAGGATCTTAACTTTTTATTCTAATGATGTTTGACATGAAATAAAAATCATATCATTTTGACCCATACAATGTATTTTTGTCTATTTCCAAAAATGTACCTTAAGTCAGGCCATCGTATAACATAAGATTGGTTTTATTTTCCAGGGTCAAATATAGTCTGATTTAACTGAACATCTTTTGTATAATCAGAATTTTATATAAAATTGTGAAGTAATGAAAAATAAAGCTTAGATAATCATATCTAAAAAAATGTATAGATGGATATTTATAGATATATACTTTAACTTGGAATATACATTGATTAATGAATCAAATGACAGTGATAAAATGTGTAAATTGCACAGAATTGTAGAACAAAGGCGAATCAATATTCCTGTAATTTAACCGAAAGTTTTCAGTATTTCTCATTACCCCAAAAAGTCAGACATCCAGTCATTTTCAGGCTTTTGTGGCAGTGCAGTGTTTGTTTGATCCTGTGCTGCTTCTGGAGACGAGGCAGGAATGGATGAGAATATGTCATCTGGAAACAAGCTGCTCGATTTTGTCTCTACACCCTCAATCCCAGTGAAATCATCAAAAGGGTTCACAGCTTTTTGAACAGTTTCCACACTGAATGCATTTGTGCTTGCAGCGTCGGTAACATTTGTGAAGACATCATTAGAGAATGGATCGACACTGAACATGGCTGTGGATGAATCTGGATCAGAGCTAAAGAAATCAAAAGCCTCCAGTTGAGACGACTGGATTACTCCTAGGTCAGAAAGATTTTGATCAAGCTTAGTTGATGCTGACAGGTTGTTTTTACTATCAAAAACATTAGCAACCTCACTTTGATTGAGATTTTCCTCACCGGGGTCGGAGCTTTTCTGTTCGAGGGCATTTGAAGATGCTGAAAGTGTTGATGGGTCACCTTCAGAAGTTATCAAGTCAAAAAGTCCACTGGGTGCCTGTTGAGCATCTGTAGCTCCCTCAAAAGGGCTTTGACTTTGACTCTCGCTGTTTGTCATTATATCAAAGATATCACTTGCCGACGTTTGATCTGAGACTGTAAGCATGTTTTCTCCACCAAAAATGTCCATTGCTTGCGCTGGTGCACTGTTTATACCAAATGGATCATCAGTGGGTTCCTTTTTACTGCCTTCAGTCATTGTGTTTGTAAAATCATAAGAGTTTACCTCAGATTTAGGCTCTGATGCACCAAATATATCTAGGGTATTTTCATTCTCAGAAGGTTGTAGTGTTAAATCTTCATCTTGACCTTCAAATGGGTCTGCTTGATTAAAAGAGCTCCCTTTATCAACTGGTGGTGTTTCAACATTCACTATGTCTGCAAATGTGCCGGTGTTTGTAAAATCAAGTGGGTCTGAATCTGCAAAAGCCATGATATCTGTTTTAGGGCCTGTAGCTTGAGATGTAAATGGATCTGGTGTATCAAGAAAACCAGGTTGCTCTTCATTTTTAGGCAATGAAGAGTTGAGGTTCTCCTGGAGAACTGTTGGAGAGTTATCTTGAGAGAAAATATCTAGATGAATGTTCTCCTGTGAGGGATTAATCTCTCCAAGAACACCAGAAGCAGGCTCGAGCTGTTCAGTCAGACCAAGGTTGAATGATGATGCGGTCTCTTCAGCAGAGCTTCCTTTAGGCAGTAAAATTGGATTTTCGCAGCTCTCAATTGGATTCAATTCTTCAGGAGCATCATTTAATACATTTTGTGTAGGTTTTATAGATTCCTCAGGTGTACTTTGCGAGGTGGTTTCAACTAGAGAAACAGAAATGTGGTCTTCTAATCCTGACCTTCCATTGTCTTTCCCTCCAATTTTCTTTGGCTCCTTCTCACATGTTTTGGTTTCTGGTGCTTTTTTAATTTCTGACTCCGCTTCAGTGGCTGAGAATAGTCTGCTCAGTAGATTTCTTGGTTTGACATCTGCTCTTTTACTTTCTGTTTTTGCCTCACTTTTGTTCTCTTTCTTACTTGAACCAACTGGGAAGAGTTTGGAAAGAGGGCTTTTACCTTTAGACCAAGATCCTTTATTTCCTTTATCCGTGGCCTTTTTGTCAGCAACCTTTTTGTTGCTTTTATCATCAGGTTTTGGAGGCATATTAAACAAATCAAGGTTTTTAGATTCATGTCGAATCTCTAAGGATTCTACATTATTGGCAGATTCTACGTTGGCATTAGTCTCAATAACAACCTTGTCCTTAATTTCTGAAACCTGTGCACATGATTCATCACTTGATTCAAATTCTGTCAAATCATTTACCTGCAGTTCATTAGGATTTGGGATTGTTTTCATCTCACTGAAATGTGCGTCATCAGACACAGACACGACACTTCCCTGCATTTCTGCAGCCTGAAGAAAAGGATCTTGAATTTGTCCATCTGTGGATTTAGGATGTTTGACAGAATCACTGCTGTGTAAATCTTGCATTGTGTCTATTAAAGATTCTTCAGGTGATTCTTCCATTTCTGTTTCTGAATTAAACATTGTTGTTACAATGACAGGTTCAACAACAACCTCAGTAGACTTTTTAGCTTCTTCTGTACTGAACTCTGTGTTGTTTTTCTCATCTGTTGAGGCAAACCGAACAGCCTTCTTTATTTTTGTTGGGTTATTAAGACTTCTATCTTCAGCCAATCCGTGTCCTTTCAAAGAATCATGTCTTCTTGATACTGTCTCTTCTTTTGAAACTTTATTTTGCACTCCGGATATATTTGCAGCCTTATGTGCTGGTTTTGTATAAACAGGCTCTTTATGAAGTGTTTTGACTCCTTTCATTTTATCAGTCTTCTCATAAACCCGAGTTGACATCTGAACTGATTTATCCACCTCATCCAGCCTAGAATTAAACCTTTTCTTTTCAAGAGCATTTCTGGAGTTTTGTGCAGAAGAAAAACCATGATTCGACCAATCTGTTGTCCGTTTTGAGACTGATGAAGAACTTTGCGAAATAGGGCTGTGTCTGGTCTTCTTGTTTTCTGGTGGCCAGCTGATTCTAAGCTTGGTGTTGTTTTCTTTACTGCTGAATTTATCATCTCTGTGTCTCTGGTGTGAAGGTAAAACTCCATCAACACATGGAGGCTGTACTTTCCGTGCTGAGCTGGACTTGTTAGTTAGTTCAGGCTCCTCTGTTTTAACAAGCCAGCGGTCTTTGTGTTGTCTGTGGCCGAAGCCCTCATCATAGTTGCCCTTTTTTTTAAACAGCTGCTGGTAATGTGATGAGCAGTAGAATTCTCCATACAGAGCAGAGCAATTGTGAATGCTGTAATGGATAATAGTATACTAGTGAGGATTCAATGTTAAAGTATGTATTGATATTTTAAAATTCCAGGGAATCAAGTGTGAATGATTCTTATTTTTTATTCAAATCAAATCAATTTCATAGTCAATATTAATTATTTGATTTTATTGGTTGCAGTTGATCATATAATTTAACACAATTTAATTTATGTTGTCATTAGCTTGCTGAAAAAAACAAAACCTCATAGAATTTGTAATGGTTTTAATGGGATATTGGTGCCTGCAGGTTTCTTTCTGGTAATTTGTTACCTTCTATTGGTGGCTGGTTAAACCATTAAATCCAAATTCAATTTGTCCAAAATCACTATTAAAAAAAATAATAAAAATAAATTACTGCTAAAAGTTGATTAATTTTAATTAGGAACCATTGAAACCCAACAACCTTTTTTTCAGCATGGTTTGATTTACAGGTGTGGTAAAATCGTCCAGTGTTTTCATTACTGATTTGTATTATAATATCTTGAAAATTTATTTTCGAATCTAAAATAGATGATTGCAACCTCTCTCACCTTAGCTTTTTATTACAGTATTTGCAGCAGAAACAGTTCATATGTAGGATTAGCTTATCTGCCACCATTTTCTCCATTGGGTAAACTGGCATCAGGCAGGCAGAGCACATCTCTTTAGCAGGTGACAGGAACTATGATGACAATGTAAACATACATGGAATATGAAGACAACATGAAGAATCTTCTATAGCTACGGAATTGTTTTAACATGCTGTTTTAAAGATACAATATATAATGTCTGACAAAAAAAATATTATGCCAAATACTGCTTTGTAAGTTTTTATTTTATTTTAGATAATATACAGTTTTTTGAAACAAACATAAATATTTAACATTAACACAAATGCAACAGTACAAAAACATGCACCTAATGAAGGCATCATGATAACATTTCAATTGTACACACATTAAAATTAAGATCAATAATTCATATATTGATTTAAATAAAAATATGGAAATAAACAAGACATCATCCAAAAAAAGTTACAAAAACAATGCTGCCAG